TCGCGCCGCTAGGTATAGTGCAAGCAAGTACACCTATGTGACGTGAAGGAGGCTTTGGTCTTCCTCATCTCGCTAGTGTATGTCTAGCAAACTGCGGCTGCCAAGTTCTGTAGGGCACGCCTCGAAGACCGAAGCTGGCGGCCGCGAAAGCTTGGTTAAAGAGTCCCATTACGGAAAGCTCCAGGTATCTTCTGGCTCTGCCCTACGTTTCGTACGGTCCACCCAGGCGTTGAAGACAAGATGGCCTTTGGGACCCAAACCGGCCAGAGCAAGGATGTCTGGATATCCAGAATTCCCTGCCCTATACCTCAGACTTCCCGGTGCGCGTGCTATGTGTCAATGGCGTACTCGTAAAAATCGTCGTAAAATTCGCGCTTGCAAAAGGGATCGGGCGGCTTCGATCTGTAGGAATCTGAAACCATCAAGGTCGCCAAACATATTTCTGCTCGTGCGGTATGATTTTTGATGGCCCTGTGCCTATCCTTAAAAATGCCTCTCAAGTCCTCTAGGAATTCACGAGCACATGGGTGAGTGAAGTCTTCTTGATGGCAATACCACCGCCGAGGATTGGGCGGACTCCCCCCTAAGATTTGAATGTGATTTTTCTGACATAGTCGTTCGTGAGGTCCTTGTCGAGAGACAGGTCGTCCTTGACCAATATCGCTTGAGCAATGGCCTTAATACTTAGTGGCTCAAGAGCGCACAGAGCGACATGACGAGCTTTCTCAGCATGAGGTGGTTTAGCACCAACGCCATATGAATCCATCGTATTCATGGTATGGACCTCTTTATATACCTTTACGCGCTCTGGAGTCGCCGGATTACTGTTGATGCTTTACCGCTGCAGTCGTCTCCTACTGGTTGGACTGTCCGCCACTAGAGCCGAACAAGATCTTCAACTGAATATTCGCCCATAAGAACCTACCGAGGGTGCCTACCCGGCGTCGCCTGGCCAACTGCCCACCTCAACACCCCCCAGGCCCCTCTAAGTACCCTGGAACCTTGATTAGCCCAAGAGACTTCTGAGAAGGCTATCCTGAGCTCATACTTATATAAGATATAAGTAGCAAGGACAGCGAACAAGACAAAATACGGGTGCCCAGAGATCACTTTGCAAAGTTGACTGCGCAGGGCCATAAGCTTAGCTTGTGGGGCTTAATTTGTGGAGCCTAGTGAACCCACCAGCCTAACTTGGCTTACTGATCACCTCATATGTCCTCCCAAGGTCCTCCGTACATGCTAAGCGGTATACCGAGTACATAATTTGTATGTCGGAGGAGTGATGGCCGTTGATGCCCCGCTGCCGGCTGAATACTCAGACCTACTGACGATATGATTAGTCACGTGCAGAGCTGGAAGGGACATCTCAGGCTGAAGTAGCAACGGCTCAAGTTCAAAGATGGAAATGGAAAGTGTTCACATCGAGATTCCGAATCGAACGTATCGTTGCTCCATCGTCCATAAGTGTTCTGATTTAGCCAATCAATTCTTTGGATTAGGTCTAACACTTTCTGGTCATTGGATTCCCCTTCTCCTCTCGTCACGAAAATCATCTACGACTCCCTTTCTGGACCGCTCTCATGAATTGGGCTCCAAGGTCCTGCACGGCGACCTGGATTATATTGCAGCTGGAATGCACGGAAGAGTGTGGAGTATTCGAGGCACTGAATTTGTCGTGAAAATCTCTAAGAGTTCCATTTTTTTCCACGAGAGGGAAAAACAAATCTACGAAAGACTTGGGGATCATGAACACATCCTCAAATAGTATGGAGAGATTTAAGTCCAGTTTGAGGACGAGGTGAAAGAAGCACTTGTCTTCGAGTACCATTCCAAAGGAAAATTGATGGACAATTTGAATGCCGGGGAACCACTGAAGTCCCCTCTCCAGTGTGTCAGGGAATTGTAAGAAGATAATAACTTGTTTCACAGTCCTTGCGCTGATCTATGGCCAGATGGGCTTTGCAAATAGCACGCGCACTCGCTTATATCCAGTCCCATCACATTGTACATGCCCATCTAGGGTTTTAAAACGTCCTCTTAGGAGATGACGGTGGAGTCAAGGTCTCCGACTTTGGCGGTTCAAGCATTGATGGTTCACGTTGTTATGCATTCCCATCAGCAAAGTGTTGGCGAACTTCAGCCATCGCGCCAGCAGTCCGCCCACCTGGTCCACCTGAGTCTTTACATTGGCAACCACAGCCTCTTGAAGACACATTTGCACTTGGTATGATCATTTTTGAGCTCCGGACAGGGAAGGGTCCTTTATGATGGAATGTCGAATGCTCAGATCTTGGACTTGCATGATAGGGAGATCTGGCCTTCAGTCGAGGGCATTCAGGAAGAAACGGTTCGCGATATTCTTGCAAATGCTGGAAAGGAGTAGCAAACGCCGCCGAGGTCGCAGATAAGTTAGCTTCCGAGCTTGCCAGGAAAATGGCGATGTAAAATTTCCATTCAGAAGAGCAATCTTGCCACTAGAAGTGCTATAAATGACAATGAGGTCCCGGCTCTATAAGCCCGGTGGAAATAACATGGCAATCTCGTTCAACCACGATACTTCTATTACGCGCATTCGGGCTAATTCCTGCTAATCACCATGAGTCGCAATTCTAGACTCTGCCTTTTGGGGAGCTGATCATCCACGGCCGTCCGGAAGGAAGCGTGGGGAATGACTGAAGATATCTGCAAGGTCTAAAGGCTTCAATGTGGAACAGGGTATTCTCACAGGCATTTCGAAATGTGCCCTCCGAGTCGAAGCTTGTAAAGACTAGTACTTCGCCAGGTGTTTGCTGTCCAAAGAATACCATCTCTGGGCTTCGCTATAATGTACGTAGTATATCTCTCCAACATATTCTGGGTTCACTCGGTCGCAAGCGATGAAATCATCCTCGGCATCCACGCTGGTAGGATCGCCGATGGCCAAGGCATTATCGAAGACAGGGTTGAGAAGCGATCGCCAGACGCTAGAAAATGAGAAGGAATTCCGAAAGCCTCCTCTTGGTGGGACTTACTTGATGATTCGTAGTCTCCATGCCCCATCCAGGTAACGGTTTCGCTCTCCTTCGTTTAGATGAGCACGAATACGACGTAAACCACCGGCCAAGGTTTGGTCTGTGCATCTCTCTAGCTGTGCGAGAGCCTGCAAACCTGAGTCCACGCCTACCAATATGAGGTGTCTCGGCTGGTTCAGAACGCTCCTCGCTCTGGAAACTCGTCTGGCGTGCGGTTTTCGGTCCAGCCGAACGGTACATTTCCAATCGTCAGCATATGCACTGTAACAACAATACCGAGTTCCTGCACACCCTCCAAGAATAATAGATACACTTCTCAGCCCCTAGCTTGCCTCCGACAAGCTGGATGCGTTCATTCATGTCCCCATCTATCATCAAAGAGCAATCTTCCTGTGGCGCAAACCGAGTCGCATGTTCAATATATTCTACACCATCACGATTGAGGTCGAACATCCGTTCCCGTCCCCTGATGTCGTGAACAACCGCTTCTTTCCATTCATAGTCCAGATTTGTCTTGAGATTTTGCTCCAGAGGTAGCAACTAAATGCTACAATAGTAAGACTTCTCGGTTTTGTAGCGAGGTAGTCGTCGAAGGTAAGCAAACTGACTTTGAACTCGAGGCAATGCCTGTTACCTCAGAGTCGCGAAGGCCATCTGGGGCAGCGACAAAGGAGCTGAGGCCACAATCGCAGCTGGCTGGGACGTCTTCGATTGTGGTATCCAACGCTGATATCGTTAGCCTCGTTAAGGCAATAGTGCGAGAAGCGGCGCAAAGGCAACTGGGGAAGTAGCTCCAGGATTTATCCTGCCAGGCTTAGTGGGGCCAGAGGCTAGGGATAATACAGTAGTGTGCAGATACTCAGTAGGGTATCGGAATGCACCCACTTACAGGCGCCACGAATTTTGCTATCCCAGTGGCAGCCTAAGTTAGTTGTGAGGACGGTTATAGCGCAGTATTATGTGCATGTACTTCCTCGTATTTTCCGCCTGTTGTCAAATAGCCATTGGTCAGTCGCCAGGGAAACATCTTATGCGAAATTCGAGTCACAGGAATTCGTCCGCAAAGAGCTCCAGCATCTTTCGTCTTACTGGCGCGTAAACGTGGGATGAAGCACCTCGTTTCTGGATCAACAGAGCGGCACGACGATGTGGTCGACCCCCCAGTCAAGCGTGCACCGCTGGCGTACCTACTCCGTGGACGCTGTCTGGTGATTTTGGCCGAAGAAAAGTCGAGACAGACCACCCGGACGGCTCGGGGTTGATGCCGCTGCTTTGTACCTGATCTCCCTCATCAATCAATTGATATGAGAGTGATTTCGGGGCCACAGAGAGATCCAGTCGAAATTACGACGAGGCCGCGATAATCAGAGTTGCTATGGGGATGTGCTCCAACAGGAGGACGACGCCTGGCAATCAAATGTTGGGGCGAAACCCCCTACCAAGTTAGCATCGTCAACCCTCGATGCCCACAAACATCTAGTTTGGTGGAAAAGGCAAACATAATGAATGGCAAGACCACCCTGCAGCACCCTGGTTCAGAAGCAGTACTCAAAGCACGAGTGAGACAACTAACGACAGTAAAATGACCTCAGGGCTTGACAGGTACAAGGACGGGTTGAAAGGCCTCTACAATCAGTGTAGCGAGACGAAATCTACCTTTACCAGGAACGGGCACAAACAGTACTGAAAACAGAAATCCTAGGCACCAAAGTTCATAAGAGGTCCGAGGGGTGCAGGTTACACAAGGGGCTGTATTTGGGCATCTGGCGGGCTGTCTTAGCATAGCTATTTAGCACGACAGCGAAGGGGACTATACCTAGTTTACCAGGCAAGCTATTGAATGCTAGTAGGCGCCACAGCCCGATGACCTGGCGGCCGCCTGCTTTGTGTAGTTGATGATTTCGTTAGCGATTAATCTATTGCTGATGACTCTGCTAGCGATAATACTGCTGGTGTGTCCATTGAGCCGCGATGCCTCTCACTCATGCCCTAGTTGAATGTTGAGCGACCAAGTTGGCCTTTCACTTTACTGCAAGCAGAGAGCGATGCCAGTTTTCTAAGCAGCAACATGACAGCTAAACCTTTGATGATCTCGGTGACTCCTAGCATGATAGATCCGAAATCGCTGGCAGGGAGCTTGTAATGCCTCGCATGCAAGCGCACTTGTGATGACCCCCCGAACACGGCGGCGATCCTGATCAATGCCGGCTCTGAAAATGCCTTGCCTGTTATGCCGAGCGCGAATCTGGGAAGAGACAATGAGTGACTCGTCTACACAATTCATGTGGTTGGACTTACGGTTTATTCGGAGCTTCGGTGACCAGATCGCGACGTGCATTCCATTTCGTTTCCGTCTCTTGTGGCAGATAGCCCATGGGCACAGTTATCACTGGCAACCCTCCACCTGCGGCGAAGTGATCTGACATCTTTGCTGTAGTTGGGAATACAAGGGCATCAAGGTCGGAACGCTCCAAAACTCCCACAATGCCACCCTCGCCAGCAAAGTAGATGTCCCGTCTGAATGCTCCCTTGGAAGCACCTTTATCTGGGCTGGCCTCCAGAGCCCACTTCCACAATTCGATATCGCGATGTGGGAAGTCTTCCGTAGGATCTTGCATGATTGCACAGGTCTTCGACCGACTGAATTTGATTGGGATTTTTATACAGATGCTGTAAGAAATCATCCATCGATGTTCGAAAGTTTGTCAGTTGTGAGAGAAGCTTCTCCTTCGTCCCTAGTTCTGTATACAGCTGCGCCCCAGTGTAGTTGGTGGTGGTGTCTACGACGATGGCACCTGCATCCTTCAACTGGGTCAGCGCTTTCACAAACGTCTCCATAATCACATTTGGCACATCAGCCATACTGTTTCTTGGCGAAGGATGATTGAAAACATGTTGACTCTATTCTGGTTCAACAGCCGTCGGTTCTTTCATGTTTTGCTGTGAGACTAAACCCCGACAAAAGGCTATTTGGCAAACACCCAGCAGATCCACCCCAAAGACTTGAGCTGATACACAATAAGTACTAGGTACCTTATAGTCGTACGCTGCATAGCTGCTACTGTAAAAGGCGGCTGGGACAGACTATGACATAATCAATCAATCAATCAAGTACTAGGTACCCGCCTAGTAAACAAACCGTACAGTGCCGATTGGCCAATACATACCCCACTTTCTGAAGGGGCCCAGACTCGCGAGGGTTGCCGTGCGAGCCGAGCGGGTACTATACTAGTGATTCGCGAGTTTCTTAGCATAGTGCATGGAAGATGGTCGCACGCTTAAACCAACAGCGCCTTGCTATAGTGACAAAAGGCCATCCTTGCACACCGGTCGGCAGGTATCCGACAAGGATGCTTCCACACGTGTGACAACAAGGCAAAATCCCAGGAGGTGGAAGGCGAGCATCACTCTAGTTGATGCAGACTGTGCCTTGTAGACTATGACCTGTTTGTTCCTTCGCACCATGGCTTCAGAGGTAGAGTTCTACAACCATGGTCGAAGCACCCAATTGTGGCCTCACTTATTAGCGCTCGTTCCGCTACTGCTAATGTGATTACATTTCACACCCCCAAAAGGTATATGCAAAGGAGAAGGAGGTTCTGCTCACGTGGTTCGTGGCTGAGCCGCATTGGTGGAAACAGGAGGCAGCGTCCATGCAACACCGAGCACGAGCAGCAATGGTTACTGTCGCACAAGACGGCTGAAAAACCTGAATGCCACCCACTTCTCAGCACTTTCTTTCTCATATCATAAGCTTTAATTTTTGCCCAAGAAGGAGTGAAGCTTTAAGAACAAGAATCGAAAGGCTATCGAGTCTTTCTGAAGGTTGGCCGAGCTGTTTCCGCAGAGCTGTACTCCTTGTCTGACACAGAACAGGATGGAGCGCAATTTTCAAGCTAACGAGGACATTTCGACCTTGTCAACGAGCGGAATAATTGGGGCGATGAGATCAGACTATTCAAAGAAGCCGATGACAAGTTTCTAGGTGGCTGACTGCAACGTGAACAGCGGCGGTTGTCATATTCATGTTTGCCACGGACATCTGGACATTGGAGACTGGGGTTATTTAGTCGCCGTCATATGGTCTCTCGTCTTGTTAGCTATTGGCCACTATCTGCGCCGGAGCTCTAGATCAGAACGATCCAACAGTAATGAAATGTGACCAGAGAGCTAAGCGAACTTGATAGGATTGTCATTTACTCAAGATATTGCGACAGACCTATGCCTGATCACTGCTTTTCTTTTTGAAGACCATGACACGAACTTCAATGCTCTCTCGCAGAGAACCCTCTCGACGATTAGCCTCAATCTCAAAAGAAACATGGGGCGGGCCCACTGACATTTTCGGAATGGGATGTGTTGAAACCTTCGGAGTAAAATGAACTTACCCACTGGATCGCAGCCTTCCGAATCCCAAGCCAAGAACATAACAGGCTCTTCGAAGGTCTGCTCAGACATGCAGAACCACTTTTGCTCGGGTCTGTGATGCGCAAGTATACCTTCCTCGACGTGGTCCTCGTGGACTTTATCAATCTCCACAAGATCTGCCTTAAAAAAGGTACTTCGATCCGCTATTGCGAGGGGTGCACTCTTCACAACATCCACAAGAGGTCACCAGATACTGCATTTTAGCGGGGTGAGTGTTGATGCAAGAAGGCGGGATACCTAGTTCTCACTTCAAAATTTGAACGTGATATTTGTCCAAACTCAACTCAAGCCGCTCTTGAGGCGAGAGCTGTCTCTCAACTCTTTGGAAAGCCACCCTTGTGTGAATAATCTGTAATGATTTCAGCAAGTGACTGTGCGTGATCGAGACCACGCAGATGACTTACATTGACGAACGACATGCGCAACGGCCAATGGTGCCAGACGGTCTTTGGGACGTTCACCCTGAGTAATCGGGGAAACGCCTTCCCGTCGGAGCTGACGAAGTTGAATTTAAACAAGCACCCTAAGTGCTTGATCCCACTGACTTACTCGCCAATCATACAGAAGAACTCGGTGACCGCCCAGGCGTCGTTTCACCAAGCTAATGACCTCCCGGAGGTATCTTCCCAAGGCTGGATCATTCATGTCTGAGACCTGGTCCTTCAATGGCAGAGTGAGGGCGCTAGTCGGCGCCTCTATGTATTCGAAACCGTGGTCTTCTAGTGTGAATTGATCCTCCCTTCCACGCACGTCCGTTATGTGGATGCCATGGTGTTGTTTGAGATCAAGATTTGACGAGCGGAAACTCCCGGGGACTTCAAAATGGATTTCGTACGATTTCTCTTTCTGGTGAGCTGCCGGTGGCTCCAGGAACGTGAGCGCGATGTTCATGGCAAAACTGTTAGGCAGCTCGAGAAGTTCAAATCGACTGATCGACCTACAGCTCCGGGCAAGTTTCCATTCAGATGTCCCAATCACTGATATTTGACTCACGTCCCAGACGGGCTAACTGCCAAAGCCCCGTCAAGGCTGTCGAACCCATCTCGTTTAGTGGTAACTGAAGCCTTCGAGTTTGCCTAGCATCACATGGATCAGCGGATAGCACTCCATCCCGTGACAGTCTCGTTGTCAGGTTCCAACTCGGTATCAATACGGTATTGACCTAATACCTGGGTAACCATCCAGCCGCCGGAATGCTCATCAGGCTCTTGAGCCTCCCAGGCCAGTGTCTATCTTCTCTCTGCATTCCTCTCGGCCACTAAGGTGGCACTTGTCAGAATGAATGCTTTTGGAATCTTGATTTCTGCTTCAAGTGTGATCTAGGCTCAATTTCGCCTGCTGGATAGATATTGTTATGTCTATTCGGGAGTACCGTGAAGGCGAGAGGCCGACGGCAGTGCTAGATATCGTATTCCTACACGGCCTCAAAGGGGGCGTCGATTAGACATGGTCGAAAGACGGAGTCAGCTGGCCTAGAGATGTCCTTTTTGAGGACGTCCCTGGAGGGCGTATAATGTCATGGGAATGGGATACGTCTATCGCCCATTTTCGTGAATATGCAAGCCATGCGTCTCTTTTTCAAAATGCGGAGACATTTTTGAACGCGCAAGAGAGAGTGACGAAGAGGTCTGCCACCGCTTGATGTCCAATTTTCCTTGGAGGCTGACCGCTCGACAGAGCAATCATTATCTTCTTTTCATCGCTCATAGCCACGGAGGTTTGCTAATCAAGGCGGTATGAGTTGCGGGAGTGTTAACGTGACGGCTAATCAGGTTGTCGTGTGTAGACACTGGTAAGAGCTGCGAACCTCTACCAATACCAAGAAAGTCCCAGATTGGGTTCGATATATAAGAAAACCATTGGAGTCATCTTCATGGCAACACCACACAGAGGCAGTGATGCAGCCAGGATTGGAAAACTTGTACAAAAAGCAGCTCAGTACACGTGGAGGAAGCCAAACATAGACTTTTTGAACATCCTTGAGCGCAACTCACCGTCGCTTTTCAAGCAGTTGAAGAATTTTACCACCATATCCCCGCAGATGTCCCGGTTCTGTCTGTACGAGACCATCCCTTCGTCTATCGGCCTAGTGAGCAGGTCTCCCCCTCTTCCCCCGTGAACTTATCCAGGTTGATCGTGTATGGCGTAATATAGATCGTCCCTCTGGACTCGGCCGTCTTCGATGGTTTTGGTGTTGAGAGCAGCCACATTCCGGGGGATCATTTGGGGATGTGCAAATTCGAGAATCGTAATTCCGGGGGCTACAAGAGAGTGCTGAGATACATCAGGCGGATGGTGAATGACGCCTCCAACGCCTCACGATTGACTCGAGAGCGTCCTGCAAAGATCGCTCGTCGTGGTTCACCAATGGCTGGCCGATCCGAAAACAAGCACCTTCTTGAAGACAATGGTCCAGGTACTGTATAGCCTGCCAATCTTTCTACTTACTGGACTCATTACCAACAGCCGGATGGTACACTCCGCACCCTCTTGGGACAAAATCAGTTGCGAAGCAGTGAGATGGGGCTAGATGTAGCGCGTCGCGGGGAAGCGGCAAGCGATAGACGCTACGTTACTTCCTCAAAAAACATGCCCCAAGGATCATTGTTGACAGAATACCAGTAGGTAGTATGAAGCAAAAAAGGAAGAGGCTCGCGCTGCTAATAGGAACACTGCAGAACGTTGTGGCAGACATGGGAACAAACAGTGTACGCCAGTATAACTTATCTTGAGGGCGGGGCCGGTATCTCTACGCAGAGTGCTCTCGCATTTGGGGACTTCCTACGAGGACTGTCGTCTACGCATGAAGAGCCGGTCATAAGAGAGAATGCGGCGAAAATGATCGGAGCCCTGCCGACATACGATGAAGTCCATGCCCGCTTCTGCAGAGCAACTTCATATCAGAACGCAGATGTGTTCTGGGCTCTGTTGAGACAAACGATAGTCGCGGGTGTTCAGAGTCCTTTATTGCCGCTACAAGCTCAGTATCTACTTTAGTGTGCTATAGGCTCCGCTGCCTTCTTCAGCAAGCTTACTCATTAACTGTGCGAATTGGCTGTCCTCAGCAAACGAAGGGATGAATACCACATATCCGGTCCAGGGGATAACGACTTGACCGGCTTCGCCGTCAAGTTGTTGATCGACGTAAGAAGTTTCTCAACATGGTTAACTCGATATCTCCCTGAATTTTGCGTGGTATGATCGACCAAAGCGACGCTGCCACTTCGAATACTGGCTAACAATAACAGACGTTGGGACACAATTGGAAAGGAAATCTGGATCAACAAGGTACTACCAGTAATTGACGGGGCGGTAAGGAATGCACATGCGTCAATTATCACAGCCGCCGACGCTGCAGCGCTGCCAAGTACAAAACAGATTTCGAATCATGTTGGGATCGAGAAAGATGTTGGCGCGCTACAAGACGACAGAAGCGGAACATTTCACTTTATTACCGTTGACGAAAACCCATCCTTCTTCCGAAGACCTCAGGTTCTGACGGCTGTCCGCGAAAAGTTAAGACCGTCCGCAAAACAGCCATGGCAGAGAATTATGTGCTTGTGAGGCCCCGGAGGTGTTGTAAAGACACAGACTGCGACTGCATACACCTTCGAACAGAAAAGAGCTGGGATGCCTATTGTTCTTTGGGTGAACGCTGGTGAGTCTGGTATTAACATGTTGCAGAGTCTGTCAGAAATCGCATGTGCTCTCAACGTGAAGGGTGCAGAGAAAGATGGTCAGCACCAAAGGAACAAGCTTCTTTTGAAAAGATTTCTTGCGTCTTGTGGTAAGGCTTGTCCACATTCCAAAATTAGAGGGGCGTGTTGACAACGTAGCTAATCTGGGCTCTAGATCGCGAGTAGCTCATGGTGCTCGACAACGTGGACGCTTTCCGCGTTGTCAGAGACCTATTTAACCTATCCCCAAAGGGGTTGATCCTTATGACCTCGGCGACGGAATATGTCGAGGTGGAGGACTCGGTTGCCAGTGAAGAGGTTCTACCCTTTGACAAAGATGAAGGGGCCAAATATCTTCTCACAATTTTGAAGCAAGACAAGCTCCCCACCGAGTTCCAAGCAGAGGCCTGGGCGCATTGTCACAAGCTCTCATGTGATATGGGTGGTCTTGCTGTTGCTCTGACTGTCGTTGGGAAATTTATCGCCAAACAGAAAATGCCCCTACAGGACTTCTTGAATCTCTGGCGAAGAGATCCTACTACCCTCTACGTCAAAATGAGAGATATCACGCTGGATCACTACGAATATCCGTTAAGCAAGGCATACTCAATGTCATTTGGCGCCCTGAAAGAAGAGTCAGCGAGGTTGTTTGCGATCCTGTGCTTCCTGGGCCCCGATCACATAACCATGGAGACTTTTTTGGGTGCGAAGAAAGAAGGTCGCCACGAGATTGATTGGCTTCCCTGCTGCTGCCACCAGTTACAGGAAGGGTCGTCAGTCACTGGCCTAGATCTCAGCCCGCTAATATGCACTAGCTTCGAGGATGTTCTTGTAGAGTTGCTTGACCTCGCGTTGATCAAGAGAAATGCGATAAATGGGCAGCTCTCGGTTCATCGTGTTGTCCAATTGGCGTCCTGATAGTCACTCACCAGAGAACTGCAGATTCGGGCATTTGACGAAGCCTCTAAACTCCTTTCCAATGCCTTTCCCAAACTTGTCAATGGCATTTCGCTACGAAAAGCCTGGGCGGAATGTGAGATATACGCAGAACACATCATGGTCATGTCGAAAAGATTCAAGCAGTACGATCTCAAAGTCTCCGAGGTAGAGAACGCGAACAACTTCTGCCTATGCCTTGCAGCCTGCGCATGGTAAGTCAGTGGGTAATCCACATGCCGGTTCTAACTCATATTTACAGGTACTTGCACGAGACCTCTTGTCCACCAGAAGGCATTGAGCTTCTGGAGCTTGGCCTCGAGCTTTGTCGAAATGATCGACTCCTCCGAGCAAATCTACTCAATACCTCTGCCACCATAGCAGAAAAGCAAAGTCGGCATTCCAACACAGAAAAGATGTTTCTGGAATCCTTAGATATACACCAAGAGATCTTAGCACCAGACCATGAAGAAAATTGCGAACAAGTTTCAACAATCTTGGCAAAGTCTACTGCTCAAAAAAAGAGTACGAAAAGGGCATTGATCTCTTCCAAAAGGCGATCGAAATCGACAAGAAGCCGGACATAGCCAGCAAAACACTGTATCTCCGGCACCTCAACACGTCTACGGCCTTTAACCTTCTAGGTGATACGTAGGCTGCATGGCACCAATTGGACCTCGTCCGAAATATTGCACGCCACGAGTTCGGGTCAAACACTTACTACGTTGCTGTGTACGCTCCCTATTCTCCTAACCTTCTCCACCGGACGACCAACTTGGCGACTAACGGTTCTATAGGAGGTGTGGCCAAAAAGCTAGATTGCTTCACATGCAACGAGAGGAGTTGGGAAAAGCGGAAGAAGCGTTCAGGATGCTCTTGACGCCAGCGAGAAACAAAGTCCCGGCTCGATCCAGACGGGGGTCTTGCATTATCGCCTGGCAGTCACAACTCTCAAACAACGACGATTTGAGGTGTCTATGTAAGTCTGCGCTTCTTCGCTTGCATATCGAAGACGAGGCCGCTCTAACTCTTGATGTAGGAGGCGCGGAAGGAAGGCGTTGGAATTGGCTCGCGCGAACGAGCCCATCCTTGGTGGGAAAGGCGAAATGGCCCGAGTGGCACGCACTTTGGCCAAAGGTCTCGAGCAAAAGACGCTAGCGGAAGACGAAGGTTCTGTGGAAACGGCTGCATGGGAAGAAGAGGCAAGAAGCCTCAGATTGGCTGTAAATGATTTCCGAAGAGAGATTCAAGGCGGTGATTACGACCGGTTTCCAGATTCCGATCGAAACCTATGATCCGCTGATCTCTTCTCATTATAGGTGAGATAACGGATGCTGCTGAGACAACCGCTCAAGTAGCGTGCTCACGTCTTTCCTCTCTTCGATTCCTTTGACAGTCCCCTGAATGGTTCGTCGTCCCAGACTTCAGCCTGTTCTTCGGAGTTTGTTCCGAGTGTATCATCTGTGCGGTTGGGACAAAAAGGACACTCGAAGACCAAGGGAGAAGGACAGCTGCAGAGGTCTAATTACGGCTTTGGCTGCACTAGGAGCGCCTCCTGGAGAAAAAGATATTTGGCCGCCTCCGATGTAGTAATACAACGTCCATGATGCGGGAAGGCCGCAGCCAAGACCACGACGTGTCGAAAATGTCGGAACCACCGCTGCACCAATTGCCCAGGTCGTTTGAACCGACAAATGATGGTTTCTGAATAGGAGAGGCTCTCGCCTGGTGCCTGGGACCATGTTTTGCGTTCCTATTCTCAGGCTGGATTGTCCAGCAGGACGTATCACAAACGTCGTCGTGGATTGAAGACCTGACTAGTCCTAGGCTGTTCCTATTCTAGAATAGTCTATCATTAGGCAATCTTTATTAGTCTCTCGGTACAAGCTAAGCAATTTAAGCTGTATACCGAGGACGCTACAGAAAGCTACGGTGAAGGCACTGTACTTGTTACCAGTTAGGCGAAGGATAAAGTGGGGTGAGCTAAGGCAAGGAAGGTAGGGTATCTAAGTAGGAATGTACCGAGTCTCTCTATACACATATTCTCGGCCATGTACAGACGCATCGCGCTCAAACAAGGGGATACATAATAGATTGATAGTCAATTTTTGTACAGAACAGTTCTCCACCCACCAGGTACCTAGGTATCGGTATATCTTTTCCTGATGGCCTGTTCTCGAAGACCAGGGACGGGGGGACCTGGTATGTAATAACAAACATCATGCCCGCTGTCTGGGAATAGGAATCGAAGCTGCTTTTCTGAAAAGGGCAGGATGGACATACGTGACGCTCCAGTACTCCCTAGTCCCTGCCTGCCCGTCCGTCAGCCGGCCGCTTGTCGCATGTCCCTTTCTATCATCATCCACACGCCATCGCTATCCTGCCAACTAAAGGGAGGCGAATAGCACAACAAAGTATCCTCCCCAAAATTGATCCAGTATGAAACTACATTGTCTTCGCCCCTCTCGGCCTTGGTCCTCCTCGCCTTGACTCCATCAGATGAGGCATCTCAGCAATTACAGCACCAACTTCCCTGGCTCAACTTGCAACACCGTCTTGACCCTCTCCAGGAACGTGCGTGCCCTTTTCTCTTCGCCCACGGGGATGGTCAGACTGAACACATTCAATGCGCCCTCTGCCGTGCTCAGTGTGCGGCCTGGTGTTGACATTGAAGATGTAGAGAAAGGAGCTGCTCTTTTTGGTGTGGCTTTGCCGGACAGGATGTCGATAATGTCGGTTTTTTTGGCCGCGGAGGCTGAAACGCGGTGGGAGCGCGGGAGTGATGTGGCCTGGGATTTACCAAGTGGAATAATGGGAAATGCATCGATTTGCGGGAGATATGTTCCTCTCGACGTAGTCGGTATTGTGTCCAGTCCAAGGACGGCGTTGAAGAGGTCATCCGCTGACGGCCTCGCATTCTTGGGTTGAGGCAGATCGTCGTTTGCGAGATCCACTGCGCGGGCGAGGAAGGTTGATAGAGGGACCGTCACCCCCAAGGTGTCTTTGATGCTTTTTTGGACCTTCAGCACTTCGGCTAGGGAGATGGTGATGCTGACGCTGGTGGTTTGTGGGACGATCTCTTCAGGTACTGCAGCGGGAGTAGGAGCAGCCCCAGCAGCGGTCTTAGGGGTAGTAGGTAAGATCTTGATGTTGCTGAGGTCGAGGTGCGCCATATGTTCGATGCGCTTGGATTGTTTGGCCGAGTAGTCCGATTCAATTGTTCCCAAGTACGCGAGGACGTCACCCTTCAGTAGTCTTCCATTCGGCCCAGTAGCTGGGATTTTGGCAACGTCGGCCTCGGAGATGTGGTTCTCGTGGATTAAAGCTATCACCGAAGGATAGAGCGGGTATTTTGGATTCTGGCCCGGCCCTGTTGGACTGGTTTTCGGTTTGTCCTTGGCCGGCCTCTGATTTTGGGGTGTACCCGGCGTCTCCTTTTCTACTCCGGACGTCTCATACTTCGAATCTGCTCCGCCCTTTACGTTATCCGCTTCCGACTGAACCGGCTTCGAGTCGTCCGGTGGGATCTCTAGACTGGAGACGTCGTCCCCTGGATCGCCGAGGACAGCTATCCTCATGCCAACTTTGACTGACTTGGAGCCGTCTCCCTGTAAGATCTTGGCCATGACACCATCGTCCTGGGCTTCCACGTCCATGGAAGCCTTGTCGGTCTCGATTTCCAGGAGAATGTCCCCTGCGGAGAAGGAGTCTCCCTCTTTGACTTTCCAACTTGAGATGTTGCCTTCGGTCATTGTCGGGGACATGGCGGGCATCATGAAATTATGGGCTGCGAGTGAGGAGGGCGTAGAGGAAAATACTCTCCGAGCGTGGTATTGGGAGTGTGAGAAGGAGCATTGGGACGAGGTGACCTGGCGGGCCAGGAGGCGGACGGACTGGCGGCCAGCCATTGCGAAGGAAGAGGTTGCGGATCTCAAGCGTAGTGGAAGGCAGCAGGGGCTTCCCAGGTTGCTATTTGGAATATCAACAGAGAAGCGCGAGGTAGCGCTGAAGGAATGGTAAGGACTGACTTGACTGTTTAGAATCGGCGGAAATGTTGAGGACCAGCTTGGTCGGAGCTTTGTCTGCGGGCATCGCCCCGACAGTCAATAGCCGGTTGCTGCTTTTAGACTGCCAGACCCAACCGCCCAGGTGCTCGCCACGCCGTCACTCAGCCCGCCAGCCTCTTCACCCCCTTTGTCCATCCTAATTCCAGCAAAGCTGTTCCTCTTCTCACCAGACAACTAGGATTCACTATCGTACTGCTGGGAAATCCCCAAATCTCCACTATAGTGAGTTGAAGCAGAGCACAAGGAGCCTTTAGACAAAACAACTCGGTACCTAATTCTCGACTGCTGCGGGATGGGCGACTTCCTCGCTTTCCATGCCCCATCCTTCCTAATCGGGTCTGTATACGCTCCCCTGTGTCAGCCTGACATCCATCTTTTAGACCAGATAATTGCGCCCATTCATGGCCTAGATGGTATTTTCCAAAAAGACCATATCGGTCAACGGACGCAAAATGCACGCTTCCAACAAGCTGACTGTCCCGCTCCAAACCCAAGAAGAGAACTTTTCCCCTATGCCCCTCCTTCGTATTCACAGAATACGAAAGCCATACGAAGATTCCCGCTCCTCCTGCTTGGGGTGCCCCTCGCGCTATGGCAGTCTTGGGTGGTATATGCTGCTTAAGTCATGTACAGATGGCCAAATCGAGAGAGCGCTTTCCGCGTGATGGTGCTGTGCCCGCCGTATCAGAGGATCTAGACTGGCCTTTGCAATCTTGGTTGTGTATCACTCCGACACGCATTGTCTCAAATGGGATCTGCTCGAGTAAACATACCTTCCCTCTGATTTTGTTGCAGTTGATCGGCCATCCCACGTATGCTCGTTTCTGCCTGCGGAAAGAATAACAAAGCTGTCTATCCGACCTGTCGTCTATAAAGGTGAGCCCTCGACCTGTAAACTGATGTCATTGTTTCCTGCAAGGTCACCTTCACAACGGAACTTACTCTCTGTCTCTTGCTTCAGCATTTGCCATCGTATTACCTACGCGTCAACTATGAAGGGTGTAGTCTTTGCAAATGTCGGCGCTGAGCCCAAGATCGTCGACGATCTTCAGAGGCCGTCTCCAGGTCCAGACCAACTGCTCGTGAAATCAATCTGGATGGCCGTCAACCCCGTGTAAGTCTCACGGTTGATTCAAATCCTTTTTGTCGTCTAACCGGGTGGCTGTAGGGACAATTTCATGGCCGCATATGGCGTTCTCGTGGTCGACTGGCCTCTTGTGCTCGGCGTCGACGCCGCCGGAATTGTGGTCGAGGCAGGAAGTGAGGCGGCATCCAAATATGGATTCAAAGCAGGTGATCCGGTGTTCGGTTGCACCAGGCTCGGAATATTGGAATACTCCGCTGGCCAGGAGTACTTCCTGATGGATGCGCCCGTCACCATCCGTAAGCCAGAGAATATCTCCCTGGTTGAGGCCGTCACATTGGGGGTGGGGAGTGAGACTGCGTGCCTGGCCTTGTTTGGCGGTCTCGATGTCCCTCTCCCTGACCCAAAGAGCCTTCCCGGACCCCAGGACGAATGGATCGTCATCTTGGGAGGCGCCAGCAGTGTCGGCAAAAGTGCAATCCAGTTGGCCAAGGAGTGTGGTTACAAAGTCGTTGCCTCATGCTCGGCCAAGTCGGCAGCTGAAGTGAAGAGCATGGGCGCCATAACATTCGACTACAAGAAGCCCATTGAGGAGCAGGTCAAGGAGGTCGTGGACGTTACTTCGGGGGACATCTCTCGAATCTTTGATGCTGTCGCAGCAGAAGATCCGGTCACGGCCAAGGAATTGTTCAAGGCATCCAAGAGCATCAAGAGGCTTTTTGCGACAACAAATGACTGGAGTGGAATCGGTGACTTTGAAGGGGCGAAAACCCATGCGGTCAAACTCGGCGGGATCGGTCGACCTGAAGCAGCAGAGTTGAACAAGAACATTGGCGAATACATTCCCGTCATCACTGCATTGATTGAGGCAGGAAAGCTGCTCCCGGCCGAATATGAAGTGATTGGCACTGGTTTCGAGGCTGCTCTCAAGGCATATGACCACCAGCGCTCCGGAGCGGGGGGATCGCGAAAAGTCGTGGTCAAAATCCAAGACGAGTAACAAACAGCCGTGCTCCCCAGCTACAGAGCGAAATGTGGAAAACTGTTACGTTTCAATCGGATAGACCCGGGTGATCGTGGTGCAGTACCATATCCAATATCCAGTGTCGGTGTTGCGGTGCAGAAGAGCGCTTAGTCTTGCTCTGCTGTATTAACTGTAGGGAAGTGGTAACCACAGTCCAAGCATTGCCTTTACCGAGTCGATCCCACCACCGCTGCCCTAGTGAGGCTTTTAGCCCTGCTTTGGGCACCAATACTGACAATTTCGCCACCCAAGGACATCTGGGGTAAAGTACTCTGCTGCGACCCTATCGTGCTCTGTGATAGCACAGAATTTATCTCATAATAGGATGGAACAGTTTCGCTTGTGTGGATGTGAAGGGAAAGGAGCCAACGCCAGAAGCACCGCACTAGCAGCGAAAGAGTAACAGAACCCCTTTCTCCTGGCCAACAATCCAGGCAAGAAACAACATTGCCAAAAGAAATGCAGGGGACGTAACTCTCCTCCCTCGCAGCTGCGCACAGAATTTCTTTTGCCAGGAGTCTCGAGGGTGGTTGGTTCTTTTGGCCGTCCTCCGTCGGATGTTGTAGGTCGACTTAGGATTGCTCTAGGACGACACACGCACCATACAGAGCGGGCCCGCATCGAAAGCCCTAGGGAGGGACACATGTGTCTCAGCATCGGTATTTTTGCATTTTGACAAGCGGGAGCTCGTGTGGTGCAGTCGCACGGCCCGTCTCGGAAACAGCGAGCATCTTGGGACATTTGTTTGTGTTGAGAAGGAAATTCGGGCGGCTGTTGGACCTGGTGCCACCTGTGAACCGGTAGTGTGCATTGGACGTGGTGCAGTTATCGTGATCCTGACCTGCGTTAGCGGAGTATCACGGTCTACGACTCAAGGGCGTTATTCCTGGCGGCAGTCGTGGTGAACAGCGTCAGATGGGGGAAGATCATTCCTGTGTAAGTTGGTACGGGCTTGAGAGTCTATTTCGCCTCATTTCTGGAAGTTTGGGCACCACTTATATACACAATTCGAGGAAGGATTTGCTGAGAATAGGGAAGGACATGTGGTGACCAGGCGTAGCGAGCGTCATCGACGACCGCAGGCGCCACCAACGCCATTCCCTGAGCCTTGAGCAACAAATGCGGAGCGAGGTTTGACGTTTGGCGGGCTTTCTATTGGCAAGAGGGCTGAAGCACCAATGCACCAAATGCACCAAATGCACCAATTGTGAGAGCCAACTTGGGCCGCAGGATGGAGTCAAGGGTGTCCAACAGTCCCACTCTTAACCTCAAGGCTGCGTCTTCTGCTCAATGGAGTCTTTCTTCCTGTAAGCCGGCGCCTCACATCCGACCGACTCAAGAGTGGTCAAAGAACAAGGCCGTGAACGGACAAGGACAGGCCGTGGGCGGCGGTCGTAATCTCCGAGAAAATGCAACTCAGCACCGATGAGGCAAAGGCGTCGAGCTTGCGTTGAGGCCATCGCAGTCCCCGGGCCAGGGGGGATCTGGTATCCGTATCCTAGATCTGCTCCAGTCAAAGACTCAACACCCTCCCCCGAAACAAACATGAGGCTTACCTAGTAGTATCGACGCTGTCACTGTCTCAATCACACGACCCAGGGACCCGGGTGCCTAGGCTGGGTGTCTCCGTATTTGCGTTGCTCGAGAAAACCCTGTTTGCCGGTGGTTGGAGGTTGGGGGGAGAGTTTGAAGTGAGAGAGAAGAAACCAGCAAACACCTTACCTCCCACGCTGACTACAGTTTCCTCCACGACCACCACCTCCCACACCTTTTTTCTTCTCTCTCCCTAATAGTGCAGATAGCGAGTACTCGGTATTACTCGCTCTACTGCTCCCACGTTTCTCAAAAACCCTGGCAAGGGATTTGTCCATCTGTTCGGGCGCCCACCCCTGCCCACCCCCAACAATCCAACAATCCAACATTATTCCTCTACCCGCGCCTTGTCACACTGAGAGGCCCGTTCCTCAGACTCGCACCTTTGAGGCGCAAGATTCAGCATTCCGGGGGTCCGTCCCACTTCACCAGATCGCCCCCTTTGCAGTTACTCGGGCGTCGCCCTTGTAGACTCAAGCGTGCACAATCAAACTTGTCGAAACCATGCGCCAATGGCAATGAAGATTCGGGGCTCCGGAGCACGAGCTCTGCATGAAGAAGGATTTAGAGGAATGCGATGAAGACGGCGACTGCAATAAGATGGCCGGGGACAAACAAGATGCCAGGGGCGCGTCGGAACAGGTCAGAAACGTCCAGAAATATCAAGCTGCAGCAGCCACCCAAGACGACGTGACCGCTCCGTCCTCGTTGTCGCCCACCTCCTCCACCGCCGATTCCAAGATGCCCGGGCGTGTCGAATGCGGTTCGCCCAAATGGGACATCAAAACCGAAGAACGTCATGACCAGCCTCGCTCTACAGACCCAGCCTTGGATGAGCCCTCAGAGACTCGGAAGGAATCTCCCCCAGAAGCCGAACCCTCACCCTGCCAAGAGTCACGATCCTTGACATGCGGTCATTTGTGTGTTGGTGACGAGGATGCTGACGACTCGATCACCATTCCTCCTTGTATAGGCGATGCTGAAGTTGACGCACTCGTCACTGCCATGCCCCATCCGCCAGTGACAAAAGAAACCTTGGAAGAGCTCGAGCTGGTCTACATACAGTCCAATCCCAACCTGCGCATCGATATCAACTATGACCATGACCTCCATTTCACTCCCATCTCCGGGGAGAAGGGAGAGCTCAAGAAGCAGCAAGCGAGAAAGTATTGGGACAGTATGCTGGCTGAACTGAAGATAGTCTCTCAACACGGGCCCTCGGTCTCATGTACCGACTGTGATAAGAAGCGCTCTTCAAGCTCCGATAAGCGAGTATTCAAGCGAAGGTTGCCTGTCTTGTTTCGGAAGCTGAAAGAATTACTCGTCATCCTGATCCCGGAGAAGGACCAATACCAGATCAGTCAGTATCTTGACGTGCCTCTGCTCCTGCAGGAGGTGTCTCATGGCCTCTTAGACATTGTCCGCTTGGCTCGATGGCTCGATGGTCTCCTCACGAGTCACTGCGCGCCGGTGAGAGATGTGTGTGCACATGAGATGGCTGAACAAATAGGACAAGGTGCAGAGAACGGGGACTTGCACACTCTCGTTACTGGTATTGAAAAGCTGTTTCAATTTCTGGAGGCAATGAAGTTGGATGTGGCTAATCATCAGATCCGAAGCTTTCGTTACCTCTTGATCGATGATACCGTCTCGTTCCAGCAAGATTATTTCAGGTCCCGTATGAGACATGGTGAGTTCAAGGGCGAACAATCACGAGCATGGTACTGTGATGCCCTCGAACAGCACCGACAATGTCGTCTTGAAGGTGAAACTGCCCGAACACTTCCCACGGCTGCGCTCGTGCATGGGATCCTCGAACTCTGCCTTTGCCACGATCCGGAGGTTCCAGCAACCCTTGCATACGATCACAAGCGCCTGAAGGAGATTCGGATGGACGTCCAGGATATGATTCACCTTGATATTTCTTTGTCAGTCTTCGACCGTTTGCTCCGGGAGCTGCTGGGCCACGGCCCAACCTCTTCGCGGCAAGGTATCTCGGAGACACGTGTAAAGGACATGCACATGCTCTTGCAGAACAGAATCATGGATCTCACCGACGGCGACCTTGAAGGAACTCCCATGCAAGACATTTGGTTGCGACACGCCAACACAGTTGCTCTTGAGCTGACACGCGCTGCTTTCCTGATCTGGCCGGGTTCTACCTTTCCCATACCCGACTCGATAGTCGACAAGACGACGGTAAGGTTGGTCGCTCAGTTTGAGGCCGAACATCAAAGCCAGCATCATGCAAGGGCAATACTACATAAACTCGAACGAGCAACAAACGACCACACGGGCAATTTTCAGAACATGACGGTATTGGCCATCTCCCAAGCACAGAAGCAATGGCAACAAGCTCGGGCTGCGAGGCAAAAATGGCGCTCTCTCCCCGAAATCGAAGATATCGCAAGAAGAGTAGCACATATTGCGGCGGTGCATTGGCGAGTTTGGGCGGATCTTGTTTATTTGGAGTCTTCAGAGGGATACGAAGATGATTTCATTGATGAGACTGATAGCATTTCTGGCGAAGAGGATCAGCATCATATTGCGGGTAGTCCGAAGGACTATGTACAACACCACACCGAAGGAGAGGAAGAAGAAGAGGGACAAGACGATACCCATTTCCATTCGACGTGATCCTTCCAGGCGTTGTTGCGTTAACAGGATTGTTGGTCAGGCCATGGTCGAGGGAAGCCTCCCGATCTTGGTGTCTACGAAAGACATGATTTGTGTCCTTGATTTTGGGGGAGGAGTCGGAGGACGGAAAAGTTGGTTCCTTGTTGAAGATATTATACACCCTACCTAGTACGTTCAGTTTGTATTTCGGGTCTTTGATTCTTTCCTTGCGTTGTGTTTGTCCTGGGAGACGTATGCTATTCAAATAACATGGGAAATGAATCGGTTGCGCGAGCTCATATTCCCGAAATATCAATCAATAGCATAATAACGGAGAATCCTGTTTGTTTTGGCTGTCTGTCTCTGCTTTGAATATCTACATTCTGGAGTGTCATTATTGGGGGTGGGAACAGCCTCGGTGAAAAGGCCGCCGACCTCGTTAATACTCCATTGCCTATTGCTCAATGAATGAAATGCTTCTCCACATCTTGATTCTCTTGTCCCTCCCATCCCTTCGATTGTCAGAAAACAATACCCGACCATTGCCGACTGACGAAGTAAACGTCTGGGTGCCACGCCCTGTGAAAACAGTGAGGAAAGGAAAAAGATCAATTCGGTTGGCTCACATTCAATCTATCCATCATCGATCAATCAAAGAAAATCGGGCCTGGTTACCGACGACGCCCGTGTCAAAAGACTTAGATAGTGTGTCGGGGGAGTGTCAGGTGCTGTCGACATTTTCCTCTCTTCTCTCTTTCGTCTTCCTCTCCTCCTTCTTCACGGTTCCCGTCTTCTTCTGCTAGGACGTTCTGCTCGCTTTCCTTCCTGACATCCCTCCGCGTCTGATATATATATATATATTTTATATCACGCTCTACTATAGTATAGAGGTCAGGCCACGACACACAGGGACGACGGGGAAAAGAGTACTTGGGATAGTTGAAAGCGACTTCTACAGGCAAATTGGGAAGAAAGCGGAAAGCGGAAACAACAAACCAAAGACTCGCGGACCCGAGGAACTATTCCAAACAACCAAAGGAGAAGTCCAAAAACATGAGTTGCTCACAGGAACAGCAGCAGCAGTCTTGCGGGTCGTGTGACGGCCACAATCACCATGGTCCAGTGCCAGACATGGAAGATTACAAACTCGAACTGGAGAGCTTGCGCAAACGGACTCAGGAACTCGAATTGAAGCTGTCCAAGGCTGGAAGCGCTAATACGACCAAGAAGCCAACGAAGCTGCGGTCCGAAAACTGGTTCAACTCGCCCGACAACCCGGAAATGATGGCACTATACACGGACCGATATCTCAACTACGGCCTGACGACGTCTGAGCTCAACGCCGGGAAACCCATCATCGGCATAGCTCAGTCCGGCAGCGATCTCGCCCCCTGTAACCGCCACCATCTCGAGTTGTCCAAGCGCGTCCGCGAGGGAATTCGCTCCGCTGGTGGTATCGCATTTGAGTTCCCCACACACCCGATTCAGGAGTCGGTGAGGCGACCGACGGCGACGTTGGATAGGAATTTGCTCTACCTAGGCCTCGTGGAAGTCTTGCATGCGTATCCATTGGATGGAGTGGTGCTTCTGACCGGTTGCGACAAGACGACGCCGGCAATGTTGATGGCCGCTGCTACTGTCAACATTCCGGCCATCTGTCTCAACGTCGGTCCCATGCTGAATGGCCGACTCACCGGCTCGCAGGACAGAATTGGCTCGGGGACGATTCTGTGGAAAGCGAGAGATTTGCATGCGGCGGGGGAGATTGACGATGACATGATGGTGGAGATGATTGCAGCTGGAACACCCTCAGCAGGGCATTGTAATACCATGGGGACGGCGTCCACGATGAATGCTCTGGCCGAAGCACTGGGCATGGCTCTGCCAGGCTCTTCGGCGATTCCAGCCCCGTACCGTGAGCGCGCACAGTGTGCGTACAGGACCGGCAAGCAAATTGTTGAGATGGTGCACGCCGATCGCAAGCCAAGCGATATCATGACGAGGGAAGCGTTTGAAAATGCCATTGTCGTGAACAGTGCCATTGGAGGGAGTACGAATGCGCCGATCCATCTGAATGCTGTGGCGAAACATATTGGTGTCTCCCTTGATTTGAATGACTGGGACAGCATTGGATTTGACATCCCTTTGCTGGTGAATGTGCAACCGGCCGGCGAGATGCTGTGCGAGGAGTATTATAAAGCTGGCGGTCTTCAAGCAGTCATGGCCGAGCTTCTGGAGCAAGGTAAACTCCGGCCAAAAGCGCTGAGTTGCAACGGCAAGACTATAAAGGAGAACGTCGAGGGCAAGCATTCTTGGGACAGACGAACCATCAAAACCTACCGGGAACCCCTGAAGCAGCGAGCAGGGTTCCTCCACATGACAGGTAATCTGTTTGATTCCGCCATCATGAAGACTTCCGTGATCTCCGACGATTTCCGACGAGAGTTCTTGGAAGATCCGAAGGATCCCAATGCTTTTGAATGTAAGGCTGTGGTGTTTGATGGGCGAGAGGATTTCATCAATCGCATCGATGACCCTAAGACGCCTGTCGATAAGAGGACGATTTTGGTAATGCGTGGTGCTGGACCGCTTGGATATCGTAAGTACTCCTGTCCCCTGGCCCAAAAAGACCATATCGATACCTAGGGCTTTTCGTGCTTCGCGGATTCAACGCGAGACAGGCTTTGGCCTTGGATCTGTCTCAATCGACAATGCTAATTTTGATTCTCAGCTGGCGCGGCGGAAGTAGTCAACATGCATGCTCCAGGCCACGTCTTGAAGCAAGGCGTCACCTCTTTGCCGTGCATCGGAGATGGAAGACAATCTGGTACATCAGGCTCACCGTCGATTCTGAATGCCAGTCCTGAAGCCGCCGCAGGAGGTAATCTGGCGCTGCTTAGGGACGGAGACGTCTTGAGGGTCGACTTGAACAAGCGCCGTGTCCAGATGTTGATCTCTGAGGATGAATTGAACAAGCGACGGCAGGACTTGGAGGCCAAGGGGGGTTATCAGATTCCAGAGTCCCAGACACCCTGGCAGGATATCTTTCGACGCGAGACCGGACAGCTCAACGACGGGATGGTCTTGAAGAACGCTCCCAAGTATCAGCGCGTAGCGCAGAGATGGCCAGCTCCTCTGCATAATCACTGATAAGCCAGGTAACGACCGCATTGGTAGAACGTGGTTTGCGGATTTATCGGGCCCTATCAATATCTTTCATCGTATCGCTGGATTGAACCGGGATTGGAAACCGTCGACTTAGTGTTGACGCGGTCGGCCTCTCGCATCTTCCTCTTGTGCATCGCAGGTTCATAGACTGTCTTTCTGGGACATGGGGTAGCTATTTTTGTCACAATCCCATGGGCAGCGTAGTGAACGTGACAATCAACAACGCGTCGAAGCCGAGTGCATAACCCTTTTCCCGGGTGTCATAGTCCCCTCGTGCACGATCACCAGTTCTCCCAGATGACGTCCGGGAGCACCGTCCTCATGACCCTCCAGTGGCCCAGCGCACTTTTTGCCTGCCATTTCTCGAGTTCCTTCGTCTCGCCGCTTCTGAGAACGGCGCCCTCTGTATTGAATTCACTCTGGTCGATTTCATGCTTGGGCACCAGAAACTCCTGCCGAGCACCACTTCCCAGGAAATCTGCTGCGACAGGTCTTCGAAATTTAATCGCTCCTTTCCTCTTCCTGCAGAAGAAGACCATGTTCGTGAAGTCGTCCCGCTTGACTCCGGGTGCGGGTGCTTCATCTTCTCTGAAAACTCGGCACGAAGGGAATACCGATATTATCGTCCGGTAGATGAGGGATGATGTAGGCATGGCGAGATCCCCGGCGTAATTGATAGCTATGACCCCGTCTGGTTTCAGGAGCATGTGCACGCCTGAGAGGAATTCCGTGGTAAAGAGCTCCACGGGTTCTGCGCCGCCGGTGAAGACGTCGTGGATGATGTAGTCGTACGAGTTTGCCTCAGTCAAGTTTGCGGCCCTGACCGCATGCATGGCGTTGCCAATGTAATAACTATGGTTTTGGGGAAAGTCGAAGTATTTGATAGCGAATTCATGGACGACCGGATCGAGTTCCACGACCGTTGTATTCACTCCATGATGGATCAGGGCGGACGGCGCAGTTCCGATTCCTAGTCCGATGTTCAAAGCAGTCTTGTGCGGACTAGGAGAGGTGCCCTCGACAAGACGTACGGCTTCGAGCATCACAAAGATGGAATAGATTGGGTCTGCAACCTTCCTCTGGACGTTCCTTTGTGGCGGTAACTTCCATTCTCCGCCCAGGAGACTGTGATCGCACCTCATCACCCGAAACCCTCGTTTGTTATCCTCCAACACTGAAATATAGCCTGTTATCGACTCCTTTCGTTCCAGTAATGTATAGTCGTAGAGGGCCAAGGTGTTATTGAGCACCTCAGTGGTTCGTGAAAGTGTGCAGTGCGGATTGGCGACCATAGTAAAAGCAACGGCCGGAAGAGAGGGCCACAAGATGCTATTCTGCAGAACCATCCCATACAGCGACGCAACGATCAGCTGCATTCCAATTCGTGAAGTGAGAAAGCCGTGTCCAAGAAGTGACGAGATAAACACCTGGCAGGCTCTGTGGAGGGCGGAGAACAACATAAATAACCCCATCGAAGGCACAGCTTCTCCTAAAGAGGAATGAGATTCGCCGAAGGTGGTGATCTCGTCCAAGTATTGTATCGCATAATAGAGAGACAACAGCACAAGGGGATAGCAAGTCAGGAGCTCGGTGATCATCGGTCCCAGTGGGCTACCCAGGGTCGAACTGAATCTGAACAGGAAGAATTGGATGCCAGGAATCCAGAAGCAAAAAGGGGTAATTAACCGTGAGACCCAAGGGGGGAGGTAGCCTCGAAGAGCGAAGGCAACCATGAAGGAAGCAGTGAGGCCATATCGATGGTACAAAGCGGCTGGGATTTCTCCATACACAGGTGATAGGTTTAATTGGGATATAGGCGCATAAAGGGCCGCAAGAAGGACAAGTTGTAGAGCCCTCTGCACCTTTGCGTCCGCTAATGTCGCGAGGACGGACTTGGGGCTCTTTTCCCTTGAACCTGTGTCTGTCCGTGATGGTGGAGGATGCACTGTAGGGTTGTGAGAAGGCGTCGCGCTCTGTTTCGTGACATTCTTGGACGGTTTAGCTCTCCTGGTCATGGCTATTGCTGTGTCCTCAAGATACTTGATAAGGGAGAGCGGCTCTTTGAGTTAGTTACGATGGCAAAACCCCGATGAGTAGCTTGTCGAGTGTTGGCAGTGCTGTCTGTACCTACGTACATAGCTCGCGAGGTAGGTTTGAAGGAATGCGACGTTTCAAAGGCCGCAGGCCGCAGGCCGCTAACTCGAATTGCTACTTGATCTGACAACCAGGCCTCAGTGAGCCCCTTTTCTCGTCTCAGCCTCCACAACAATAATACTGGACAATATTCTCCTGCAATCAGTGATCCTAAGCCTCGTTTCCGACAGAAGAAATTGCCTCTCTAAGAAGTCACTGCCAAACCCAGAGGATTTGCCCCCCTTGCAAACCTCTGTACAAGATCCAACACGCTGAAATGTCGCCTGCCATCCAGTCGCAGAGGCAAGAAGATACAACCAGCCCGTTGGTCAGATTCCGGGTATCAAAAGGACAAAGACAAACCTCCATCATATCAACCAATTTTAAGTCAACCAACAAATGCCTCCGGCTGGAGCCTCCAGTCGCGAGGAAATATACCCTGAAAACCACATCCCGTGCCACCACTAGAAATACCTTTGGACCGTTCCCCCAAACCGTCCTTGTCATCTCGTCGTGCAGCTCGTTCAGAATCGTCTTATTGTATTCCCATCCCACAATCTCAATTAAGTGTAATTAGGTGTTCACAGCGTCTGGCCGCTGAGCGTAATCAAGTTGGTTTTCCGCTAAGCCAACACGACCAGCCCCATGGCTGGATCGGCTGGATCACTGCTGAGGAGCCAGTCTCGCTTGTTAAACTTTCTGGCCTCTTTGTCAGTTTCCACGTCGACATCAAGCCCAAGGTCGATCCCACTATCGTCGTGATTACCGGCACCGCGGTGCTTGACTGGACTGCTCAGGCCGGTGTGAAAGCTAGGCAGGTCTAAAGGGCCGCCGCGCCGTAGTTCGTCAAGTTCTGCGTCGGTTTCGTCGTCCTCGACCTCCTGGTTCGCTTGCTGTTCCAGACTGGCCGCTGGAAGGGTCGGTGAGCTTGTGGGAGCCATTTCCACTTTCGCCGACTTGTGCAACTCGGGTCCACCTAAAGCATTGGCGTCCCCGTCACCATCTTCGGCTACCCTCTTTCTTTTTGTGCCACGAAAAAGTGCGTCTGGATGAGGGTGGGCCTCCTTACGCTTCTCTTGCTCTCTCTCGTCTGCGGACTTCTGGCTCTGCGAGTCCATTAGCAATCCTTCCATCTGCGTCATCCAGTCGAGCATCTGTGTGGTGAATGACTCTACGAACCACCACGATTGATAGCTATGTGCGCCACCCTGTCCCATTTGCATCATGACGCTTCTCCAAAATCTGGTGTGCCAATTGATCATGCACTGGGGGTGATGGCCGTCGAAGAGTTGAGGCAATCGCTCCACCCAATTGATCCAACGCTCGAGCAAAGAAGTAGGTTCACCGCTGGGTTCCGGGAGCAGAATGCCGTCGCAAGAATCGGCGCTGTCGTGGATAAAGGTCGCGTATGCGCTAGCCCGGTCGTCCTCCGCTGCGTGAACCAATGCATCATCAATTGGATCAACGAGAAGTCTCATGTCGTGCTTCAGCATGCCCTGCATCTTCTCGAGACTTTCAGGCGGTGGCATGCTATCCTCTAGGAGGCGATCAGGATCAACCATAGACATCAAATCGAGCCACATCTGAGTTCTCTGTTGCGGGTCCTCAAGCATGCGACTCAGTTGTAAGGTAGCTGCGTTCGCGCTCTTAAGCTTCTTCAGTACATGCACGAATCTGGATGCAGGTACAATCTTCGCAACGATAACGTGAACAGGGCACTTCTCTTCAAAGGCGGAGATGAGGTGGCTGATCAGTCTCGACCCGATGCGGTCAAACACATTCCACACAACCTCAGGCACGTTCTGTATTGCTAAAGGAGCAATAAACCGGACAATCTGCTTATACATTCGCATATCGCATTCCTGAATCCAAGGAGCCAAGCAGGGCATCGAAAATAGTTTGGAGACTGGGACAGTCATTTTCCCATTGAAGGCTGAGTGGTGGTTGAAGAATGGCTTCTCTTTGCATTTGCGAAAGGCGTCGATCACGTCGATGCAGTACGAACGATAGAGATGGAACAAGGCCTTGGCGATGGATGCGTCATAAGTCTCTCCTTCAAGATAAGGATGGATATCAGGAAAGTCAATGGGGGTATCTTGCGACGAGGTAGACGGCTGAGAAAGTGAATTGAGCGTTGGCATTCCCAGGTAAGCCGCCATGCTGGCAGGTAAATCTCGTCGAATTGAAGGAAGCGCTACAAGGACGTTCGTAGGCATGGATTTGACGGGGAAGCGGATGGTTGGCGTGTTGATGTACTTGCAATCCAGTCGCTCAGTCGCAGACTCTACAGGGGCGTTCATACCGTCCCCAGAAACATCAGCTTCCTTGGACAGGAACGCAGCGCTCGGGGCGGGGAAGTCGGCTGTCTCCATTGTTGCTCGTGACATAGGTCGGTCAATGGGAGGGGTCACGTTGGCCTTGAGAAAATTGTTTGCTTCCTGGACTGATCCGTGCCGTTCATGCTGGCCGCTCGATGTTCCGGGTCTTTCGGGCGCAGGAACATATTGTCGATCATCGTCGTCCACCACTAACGATAGATCCACGTAGTGATATTTCGATTCGCCCCGTACTCCTAGTCTTCTTGTCTGGACATTTGGAAAAATGATGCGTACAAGTTTCCCGAACGACGCGGGGTTTAGAGTCGGAACTCGCTCGTTGCCACAGCGTTCAGTGTACCTAGTAAATACACGGTCACGGCGTACAGAGTTCGAAGATCTTTGGCAATTTTCTTGAAGCCTAGAACATTGTAAGCATGAGCCGCAGGCTTGGTCCAAGGACACCTACCAAAGCATAGCAAAGACCTGTTTTGCTTTCTCAGATTTGCCTCCGGCGCCTTCATTCTTTTGAACTTCCACAGCCACTTCTTTGAGACTCTTGCCTTGGTACTGTACCAGCAGTCTCCGCAATTCCTGGTCGTTAGCCACGCTTGACGCCATACCCTTTCTACGTTTGGCGCCACCATTTTCGTTGTTTGAATCTTCTGGCGCGGGAGAGCCTTCAAATTGTTCAGAATGATGGCGCATGTGATGCATATGTTGAGGGCCGACAGCATATTGCGGTAGGCCATGGGGATATTGCATAGGGTAGTGCTGCATCTCCTGGAATGCTTGTTGTGACAGGGGACGCATCTCATGTTGTGGCATTCCTGTGTTGGGGTCTATTGGTTGTTGAAGATGCGGTGGGATATTGTGTTGGTAGTGCATGAGCATTTCTTCAGGATTATGACCATACAGTCCGGCAGCTGGATGAGTGCCGTGCTGCATAAAGAAGCTGTTCTGATCTAAAGGCATGCTCGGCTCGTCCGGCTGTTGTTGTGGGTGCTGTTGTGCAGGTGGTCGGAAGGCGCTGCCCACGCCGACCGATTGCAGGCTGGTAGTCGAACCCCTCGATTTTGGACGGTGTTTCTCTCTGTTACTTGCACCGGTCGAATGGGAAGGATCTTGGTGATCTGGAGTTTCCTCCTTGAGGAGGGTTGGCGACTGCGCCATTCCGAACTGTGCGCTGATTAGCATGCCGCCACGAGAAAAACAAGTCATCCTACATATTGCAGTCCCAAGATTTGCACTTTCAGGAGGATGAAGATACCTTATTCCTAGATGCAGATTTGTCGAAAGAGAATGTCGCTTCGTAATACAACCGTTCACAACATGGCATTTAGGCGTCACAGTTCGTTAGATCAGATCTGTGGGCGGAAGATGGCGGACGTGTATCTCGAGTGTCGGGCGGTCGCGGAGACAGATAGACAGTCTGGAGGTGCCAGTGAAGATGTCACGCTTTGCGGGAGGCGTTCTTGACTGCAATTGATCTCTTCACGCGCAGTGGCCGTCAGTCCATGTCGCTTGCTGGTTTGTGTTGAGAGAAACAGCCCGATCCGAGTTCGACAAAGGTTGTTGCCAGAGAAACAGTTTGCCAAGCCAAACATTGGGTGCCGGTCTGACAGCGAGATGTTGTTACTGTGAGCAGCCAATATGGACCCGTCAGACGAGCACACCCGTGACCCGTCCTCATGGTGCTCATTGGTGCAGCGCGGAATTCCCTTGCCGGGCTCTTGGATTTACACGTGACAACATACATACTGGGTATTACGTCAACTGCCAGCAGCCGCTGGGATTTGCCGTTTCTGGGTGGATTTGCTGCGCAGGTGAGTGTATGAGTTGCAGCTGCCAGGGTCAGGCGGGCCTTGGTGACCGCCTACTAGCCCATCACCACCACCGAGAGTGACTTCGCTGACTAGCTGACTAGGCGCCCCAACACCACCAACTGAAGCTCCTCTAGGCTCTGCAGGCGGCTCCAACGGCTCCTGTAGCAGCTGCCTTAGGACTCTGCTGAACTCTTTGAGGTCACCCAACCACCAAACGGATGGACGTCACCTCCTCCTTGCCAGGCTGCCCTGCTTCCCCTGGCGGTGCTGGGCCTTTAAACTACATCACTCTCCCACTACTGCACCTCTCCTCCCACTCGCACATTTCGTTTCGTTCGCACTGAGATATTGCCAGCAATCCAGACCTCATCTGCACTCCTCATTTCCCAAATCCCAATCCACACCGCAACAATCTACATCCCCCGTAGAGATACCAACTGATCATTGTCAAGATGTCGTTCCAAGACAAGGCGCAGCATCAGATCTCGCAGATCGATAAGGAAGTACGTGAGGCACATGTCAACTCCAGGCTCCCAATCTCCCAATCTCTGCTGCAATTCAGCATCACCCCCCATCATCTTAGATGGCTCTCCTATGAGAACACCACAGCTCCTTCCTCTCAGAAATGCCAGCGAGTGCGATTGAGCTAACTGATGGTGCCTGCAGCTCTCCAAGTATCCCATGCTCAACAATTTCGAGAAACAGACCAATGTTCCCAAGGTCTACGCTTTCCTTGGCCTGATCGGCCTCTACTTCTTCCTCGTCTTCTTTAACATTGGAGGCGAGTTCCTCGTCAACTTCGCCGGCTTCATCATTCCGGGATACTACTCTCTCGAAGCTCTGTTCAGTAGCAATAAAGTTGATGATACGCAATGGTTGACGGTACGCTTCTTCCGACCCTTTCCGTTATCAGCTGTTCTGACCGTCATTCCAGTATTGGGTCGTGTACGCCTTTCTTACTGTTCTTGAGAGCATGGTCAATGCCGTCTACTGGTTCCGTAAGTTGATGCCACAGGATAGCTCCCGCCTACGAGATCCACGCTAATCCTCTGCTATCAACAGCATTCTACTACGTCTTCAAGTTCATCCTAATCTTGTGGATGGCCCTTCCTATGACCAACGGCGCTCAGATCGTCTTCAGATCTCTCCTCCACCCGATTTTCTCCCGTTTCTTCCAACAGCCACCAGCCTCCACCTCTGCCGATGTCCGAGGCAAGGCCGACGCTGCTTTGAAAAGCCAGTAAACGCCTGAGGCAATCTCACCGTGACTTTGTGTGAGAATTAAAAGGGATCGCTGCCTTTTGATGCGACCCGAGCACACAATGGCAAGGCTTTTGGTATTATGACAAACGAATGGACCTTTGCTGCAGAAACGAGACCCGATGGGAGGTAGGGTCACGAGAATGGATGCTATCTGGAAGTTGCAGCAGGATGACGGACAAGTTGCTCAGGAAGGCTAAATCACACTGTTATGAACTTTCTCAATAGACCTATCGATTTATGTCTTGGTGGTGGCAACGGCTCTCAAGAGATCAGTCGAGGCTAGTTATTGATCGCAGGTAGGAAGGCGTCAATTGAGGTTGAGCTACTGAAATAAAAAAAAAAACTCACAAAAAAAAAAGACAAAGCAACTTTTGTTTGCTCTATAATATGTATCTCTAAAGAGAATGCATTTGCGATGAGATCTGATGCATTCTAGACCTCCCAGGGCTCAACTCCACCCTCCCACAAATCCTCTCTCTGCACTTTCCTGTTGCTTCGGATTGACAAATATCCTGTATGGGAACGGATTCTGTTCACTCGTGGTGATGGGAGGAATGTGATCCTTGTCTGTGTTCACAATCGCCACGATCTTCATCGCCGTCTTCTGTAGGGAGGATTCCATTGCACGGCGGACTTTGATGCGATCTGCCATTTGGAGCCAATAGGTTAGCCATTCATGCTGCTCCGTCGCACGGCATACCAAAGGGCGAGAGGGAAAGCCTTACCCGCTTCACTTCTAGGTCTCGCGACAATAACCTGCACGCACCATTCCTCCCAGCAGACTTCCTCCTCGGTTTGCCCTCCACCTCCCAAGCGGCCCAGCCAGCCCGTCGTAATTCCCGTTTTTCTCCTTTTGCGATCGTAGAAACGCACTACAATTTCGCCGCGAGAGCCACCTGCTGCGGCCGATGGGCTAGCTGGGCTCGTTGAGAATGGTGGTGTCAACTGGGAGATGAGAAGGTCTGTGTGAGAATCGATTGCAGTCGAAATTTCGGGTGGCTCGAGGATTGAAGGGAGCGTGATGGGGAGGGACTGCGCGGAATGTGAGGTGTGAGTATGGGAGAGGGAGGAGGCATTCGGGGTGTAGAGAGAGGGTCGGATCGGTGGGAAGTAACGGTGGAAAAATATTGTGTGTAGGACTCCTATATTCAAGAGGTATGCTTTCAGTCTCATTGCCACTAGGGGAGAGTAGAGGTGTCCTTCTTGATCACGGACTTGGGGCCAAACATAGTCGTACCTTTAACTATGTCCTTTACAAATGTTTGGTCCGCGAATACTTCGAGGATGTATTCGCGATGGCTCTGGTCCATGATCGCAAGCAGCAACCTTGGGGCGCAAGTATACTGGAATCGACTGCGACTGCAAAATGGTGGGGTCCTTGGAGAGTGGTAGGCTCAGCGGAGTACGAGGTAGGAGAGCAGGAGAGGGCAAGGAGGTGGCAGCCAGCTAAGTGGCGCCTCAGATAGAGCGGTTGCTCAAGACATGGTCGTTTACAGGCTCCAACAAACGTGCCTTGCGCATCGGTGGACTGGTCGCAGCAGGATGACTCTGAAGAAAAACCATGATGAGGTGCGTGAAGAGTCTTTGAGTGTTCCTTCGATGGTGGGGTCCAGCGGGAAGGGAAGGTCATTCTCGGCTAGGAGAGGCACCAGAGGGTAAGGCACTGCGCCCAGCAGCCCGGCTAAAAGGGTCTTTTAACAGCACAGAGTCTAGTACTGGCGAGCTGGGTGGTCGGGACCTACCCAGTACTTGTACTTGTTAGTGAGCCCTCCTCGCTATTACGTAGGTGCACAATACGAGCAAGAGCCTTGCTGACGGTCGACTGCGCACCATTGGCTCAAAGGTGACCTTCACACCCAGCCGCTCCCAAGTCCCATCTCCGACCCAAAAGCCCATGCTCCTGCTCGGGTACTGGTGCTTCTTTCCAGCCTTCAGCCGAGGCACCGCCACAAGTTTCATCCGATCCATTCGACAAATGTGATCAATTGAGTCAAGAATAAAGCTGCGTCTTGAATCTGCCTGCTCCCTTGTTGTACCTGCTCCTGTTCGGGACGCTCGTTCAGGGCCGTCCATCCCTTTCTCTGTGCCATTCGCGATCATGTCCTATACAGCGGACAACTTGTACCTGAGATAAGGTGCAGAGATTCCCTCACATTGGTCAAAATGATATCAGCCACACGTCGCTGGCTCAAGCGGCATCGCACTGGTATAGCCATTGGCGCTGGCGTTGTTGGCGCGACGTATCTGGCCGCTCAGTATGTCCTTGGAAAGATCAATGAAGCGCGAGAGCGCATGCAGATGGACAGGATTGCAAAGGAGAAGTATGAGAGTTACATCTTCGTTCGCCGAATAAGCACTGACTGTATCTTCTCCAGCATTCGTCGCCGATTCGAGCAGAACCAAACAGACTGTACAATTACAGTCCTCGCCCTGCTACCCACTCTGACCGAGAACATCCTCGAAGATCTCCCTGTCGAACAGTTGACTCATGAGTTACAACAGAAGAAGGCCGAAAGATTGGCACGTGTCTCAGGTGAAGGGAAATCTGAAGCCTCGAGTATGTACGAGGGTGAAACGGCCAGCGTGTCCAGCTTTCAAACGGGGAGTTTTATACATGCCAGCCAGTTGCAGGGTGATGGGAGTCAATCACCGGGGCCTCGCCGGACAAAGGCTCAACTTTGGAATGAATTGAAGGTGACATCGATCACAAGAGCGTTTACCCTAATATACAGCTTGTCGCTCCTCACGATCCTCACAAGAATACAATTGAATCTCCTCGGTCGATTAAACTATCTATCCTCGGTCATTTCACTGGCCCAACCTCCGCCACCCGGGAGAGCGGACTCGATCTCGTTGGAAGACCATGATGACGGAAGCGCAGGCGCCGGGTTCGGGAACGACTTCGAAACTAACAGGAGATATTTGACATTTTCCTGGTTTCTGCTACACAAAGGATATGCGCAGATCATGTCCAAAGTCAGAGAAGCAGTGGAGGAAGTATTTGGGGGCATCTCTCCCAGCGAAGGAATAACTGCCGCTAGGCTCAGCGATCTGGTTCTCGCGGTGCGAAGGCGCGTCGAAGGTGGTTCTGAGCAGGAGAGGTATGCAACCAGATGGCTACCGTACGTGTTGCCGCCTAAGGAGGAGGAAGAAGCAGTGTTGATCGAGTCCGGCGTGATTACTCCACCTGCTACGTCTGCAGGCTCGGATGCTCACGGTCCCGACAAGGGCGAACATCAAGAAACGGCAACCCATATCGATACATCAACAGGGCCATTACGTCAGCTTCTCGACGAGACCGCCGATCTGATTGACTCGCCAACATTCACGAGGATCCATTCACTGCTTCTGGGGTCCATGTTTTCGCATCTCGTCGACACTCGTGTTATTGCCCAACTATATCCACAACCGAGGCAACACTCCCCTTCTTCATCCATATCTAGCGCGAAGCAACCGCGCATTCAGGAGCTCGACTCCGCCGTCACTGTCGTACCGGGAGAGCCGCGAGTCAAGCTTGCCAATATCCTGGCAATCATCACGCGCCAGGCACATGCGATTGGAAACGGGAACAACCCACCCAATGAATATGTATCTACGGCAGAAGCCGAGGTTAGGGAGCTCGAAGCCTTTGCTGCGGTCATCTATGCCAGCAATTTGGATCAGAGTCTGGAGGAGAATCGGCTGAACACTGGTGATAGTGGGTTGAGAGCAGCGGGTGGAGTTGGCGTTAGTGACGTCGGCGCTGAGCCTGTGGATGAGTTGATTGAGAGTAAATTGGAAAGTGCATGGACAAAGGTTACGGGCAGCACAAGCTTCTCGTCGCGGTAATGCGGCTCGTGGGAGCGGTTTATGGGCACTCCTGAGAGAACAGGAAGGGGTTAGCGATTTTGGCATCATAAGGTTAAGATGGTTCCTATCGTCAATGTGCTGGACCAAAGGGGATATTTTCAGTGTTTCTGGTGACTACAGAGGCGAGATAGAGACATATCTATGGCTGCGACACAAGGCTGAAATGAGGTTTGTAGAGGAGGTTCGGAAGGTATCCAGACGCCCAGATCTTTGGTGACTCTCATTTCCCACATCCCATGACGTTGCCTCGGGAATTGGCAGTGCAGAGCAGATGACACCAGGTTCAATATCACATTGCGGCCAAAAGACTTCCTTTTCGCGTGCTCCTTTTGGATTTGACCTTGCTTGCTGATTATGTGGCAACGTGTGGCCATCCCCTGGTCGCGGAGCCTGGTCTTTGCGCCGATTTGCCGACCACCCAAAATTGTTAACATTCTGTCTTCCTCGTATGCCCATTGTGTCCGCAGGGCGAGAAGCTGCTTGCTCCACTCGGCACGAACACACGTATGGCCTTGACACTCTGTTAGCACTTCTACCTACCAAGGCCTCAGGTCCACCGTTGCAAAGGTCGCCTCCCTTCAAGATCTCAGGCCTCCCGGCGAGGCCCATGAAGTCGCCGTCGTCATGGATCGACCTATTGGTATGGGTGGACACTTCACCAATGTATTCAAAGACGACAAGTGGCTTCAATGGCGCATGGTGCCTTTCATCTTGATCTGGGCTGCTTTTGGGGTTTTGTTACTGGTGTGCTATCTACCCCTCTCTCCTCCTCTGCTCCTGGTACTTGACCGCCTGACTTGAGATATTTCAGATATGGATATTCGTAACGCTCTTCGTGCCCAACCCACGCAAACCCCGCCCCTCAGAGAAGAAATTCACAACGGTGGATAAGACGGGCGATGTGACGGACCCAGAACCATTGCCGTGCTGGTACGATGAAGTCCTACGAAAATACGCCAAAGCGATGCAGGAGGATCCGGACAGGGAAATCAACCTGGAGAAGGAGATTGAGCCAGCAGAGTTGTTCGTGACGCTAGTCATTCCCGCGTTTAATGAGGAGGACAGATTGACGGGCATGTTGGAGGAGGCGGTGAATTTCCTCGAGACAGAGTATGGGACATTGCCCACGTCGTTGAAGGCAGACATCGAAGCAGGAGAAGCGCAGACTCAGGGTCCTCGGCGCAGGAAAGGCAACGGCGATACTACGTCTTCGCAGTCCCAACAACAACAAACCGGCCTTCGAGGCTGGGAAATCCTCCTCATCGACGACGGCTCCACAGACGACACCATCCTCACCGCCCAAACCTTCTCTCGCAAACATATCCTCCATCCCCACCCCCGCCGTGATTCCGGTCCCTGGACCCATCGCTCCCCGACCGGTGTCAAAATCCCCCCGGGGTCGATCCGGATGGTCTCCCTCGAAGAAAACCGCGGCAAGGGCGGTGCCGTGACGCACGGCATGCGCCACGCCCGAGGTCAATACGTCGTCTTCGCCGATGCGGACGGGGCGTCCAAGTTCTCCGACCTCGAGAAATTAGTGAGGACGTGTCAGGAGATAGAAGACGTCGAGGGCAGGGGGATCGCCGTCGGTTCGAGGGCGCACTTGGTCGATTCTGAAGTCGTGGTCAAGCGGTCAAAACTGCGGAACTTCCTCATGCGTTGCTTCCACATGTTGCTGTGGGTGATGACACCTCCGGCCACGGCTCGGATCAAGGACACGCAGTGCGGCTTCAAGCTCTTTTCGCGCGCAACGTTGCCGTACATTGTCCCGCACATGCACATGGAAGGCTGGATCTTTGATGTCGAAATGCTCATGCTGGCCGAGTTTGCGAATATCCCCGTGGCCGAAGTGGCCGTGGGCTGGAGAGAGGTCACGGGCAGCAAGTTGAATCTGGTGAGAGATGCTCTAGGCATGGCGTGGGGATTGGCAATATTGAGGTTTTGCTGGGGGACAGGGATCTTTAGACGGTGATGGATTGGGCATCTTGATGGCTAATATATGCATTGGGCTTTTTCACCCGGGGGTTCTCTCTCGCGTGCAGGTTCAAGATATGGAAGAGTCTGTCACAAGCACAAAATATTGCATTTGCGCCCTTTGATCCGCCAAATGACGAACTCCTGTCGAAGGCAACTGGAATCCTCGACGGAATCGGGCGGCTTTCAAGAGGCGTGCACTCTACCATATCTATTGACAACTATGGACAATCTAGAGTGCCTTGGAGACATGGATGTTAGCCAGCCGTTGGTTTGAGAACCTTCCGAGACCGTCCCCATCTTGTCATACCACCTGTGAAGGATCATTCTTGAGCACATCCTTCCACTTCTTGGCTATCTCCATGCCCTGTGCCAACGTCCCGACACGCGCATCGATCGCAAAGCCCTGGGCCTCCAAGTCTGCAAGCTCATTCCACAAATTATCCAACGGCAGCGTAAAGCACTCGATATACTCACTCTCCTCCAGCTCGGGCTTGAGATTCTCTTCTTGATTCCTCGGGTCACGCATGTCCACCTCGACGAAGATCATTTTCGTATTTGTATTGCAGAAGCCCGGGTCGTTGAACATCAGGATCCCCTCCGCGGCTTTGGCATCAGCAGGGATGGTGGAGATGTAGCCCGTCTCTTCCTTCAGCTCGCGTATGGCGGCGTCGGTGGGAGATTCTCCCGCGTCGATGAGGCCCGAGGGGACCTCGATGGTGACTTTGTCGACGGCGGGACGGAATTGCTTCTGGAGAAGCAACGAGGGTCCCTTGGAGGATTTAGGGTCGTTGAGGATGGCGACGACACCGACGGCGTCAACTTCCGCGTCCTTGGGTCTCGTCTGTGGTAACTTCTGGTCAACCTTTCCAGCGTTCTCTCCGGGGAGGAAATCTGCGGGATATCATTGACCTGTCGCTCGGCGGATTCCCAGATCCTTTGCTTGCCCGCAGGGTCCTCATACGTGATTTTCTTCAGCGTGATCCATTTCGCCTCGTCGGTTTTCTGGGCTTCTTTCAGCAAAATCAGCCACGGGGCTTTGAGCATGGTGGCACGCTTTGTCGGGACGAGGGAGGGATTGCGACCCTTACCATCGGTTTGACAGAGAGGTTCTTGGCCATTAGCGGCGAGTACGTGGACATTTTGTCTGCCATCTTAGGGAAATACAGACGAAGGACGTTCAAAGGGCTATGACTCGCCCGCCGTATCAACAGAGGCAGACGAAGAGTCAACATGCCATGGCTGCAGGTGGAAGGACGAAACTGCGGCCCGCATCGAGGTTCATGTGAGAGACGAAGCCCAATCGTGAATGACGTACTAGATAACGACAATGTCCAAATTCGGCAAGACGCATTTCTCTTCTCTCCTTCGCAGCAAGGCGAGACGCAGCCTTGTTGGCTGTGAACCGCCTTTGAAGCCTGTTTCGTTTCGATAACTACGACTAATATCCCTTGTAGCATTCTGCTCATGGCACCCAGTCAACCCCCTACAATTTCACCACGAGCTTCTAGGCAGGCGTATACTTTGTTCGCGCCATGCCTAGCAGGGGAGATTTTAACGTATCCCGCGAGAAAAAGAAAAGCATAGCCGTTCAAGAAGATCAAAGGCACCGAATGAGAGAGCAAAGTGGAGAGGGATCACCTCTAAGAGGGGTTTCTTCTGCTGCCAGAAGCCATAGCCATAGTTGTCTAGATTAAGACGTAAGTCGATGGATGGACAAGCCGTGACTGAATGGTAGACCACATCACCCGCCGGGGAGGTTTGCATATTGTTCTCATAGCGTACCCTCCAACGGAATGATGGAAAGGGGTATCCCAGATCCCATCCATGTTCCATCCTGTGTAGATCATGTCCCCGTCCCTACAACAGATCTCCAAATGGCTAGATTGAGCAGTCGTTCCTGTCCGAAAGAACGATGGCTCAGCATCCTTAACTCGAGCAAGTCTCTCCCTTGCCCGGGCCCCATCCATCAGAGAACCAGGAAAGATCTTGGCACCAGCATTCCCACTGTTTCGACAGACCTTTCTCGCAGGTCTTGGTAACTGCGTCCTGAGTGCACTTCAGACCTTTGTTGCTGCAAGTCATAACGCCGTCCCGAGAGCTACGCGGCAGCAAATTAGCATGTTAAATCTCGTTTTTAAAAGCAGGTTGGTAATGGGTATGTTTCTTACCAATTGCAGTAGTCCGCGCAATATTCACCGGTTACTCCAGGGCAGGTAGGACTAGAGATCGTCATAGAGCCACCCGTGATCTTTTGACACGTTGCAGCACAGAGGTCATCAGCATCGTGATTGCCACCAGCGGTCGCGAAGGCAAGGAGGAAGGCGAGGACTGTCACAACGGCTATGCCCTTCATGGTGCTGCGGGAAAGTAGAGGTAGAGACGAGTATTCGTGGGCTAGACGAGAGCGATCAGCGGATGGTCGCATGTCGCATCACGAGAGTAGTGACTTACTAGAGATGCCAGTCAGTTGGATGGTCCAGAAAGCCTCCAAGAGCCAGTGGTGTGCCGAACAGTTTAAAACAGACTGCAGAGGCTGAAAGAGAAAATGTGATTTATAAAAGGCTGAGTGTCACCCGTTTGTAACATTCACAATATGTCACGACTGTGAGCATGAATGTACTCACACTGTCACTGTGTATTTACACACAGGAGCCAGACCAAGCGGCACCGGATGCAGACGTGAATAAACTCAGTGCTATAATGAGTGAGCGCGCTGCATTTGGAATATGTCTTCGTCTTTGGGCCATAAGCCAGCAACGTAGGTTAGACGAAACCAAACTCATTGATTATTCGAAGCTGTCGTTGTTATCTTCAAATAGTAAGCTGCCAGTAACCTCTGACGTGTGGCAACTAGAGTAAGAACTGTTACGACTTGTATGTTTGCCCGTTCTGGAGGTTGACAAGATCATGGGTGTGTGGAGATATAAGCACATCCGCCCACCCTGAACACGGGCATTTTGCGGAGGGATGCTACTGTTCAAGCACGCAGAACTGAACACGACGTGTCAGAGACCACGAGGCCGCATACTGCGTACCATTCTCGCAGTGTAATAGTGATGATGACGATGTCTGAAGGATGGCCATGAATCGCCATTGAGAGAAAAGTTGCTCTGATGTTGCCGTAGTTTATCCGAGCTCACGTGTGACCCCTATTTGTTTCTTTTGACGTCTTCCATGCTTGTTCGGATGTCTTTCTTCATCACAACAGCCATGAATGCGAGAGAACCGACCATTACACTATATCACAATCTGCTGTTGAAAAGGCGGAAACGCATACAATTTACTAATGTCCTTGCTTTCTGAGATACCGTATCGGCGGTTATAGCACCTAAACAGGCCTGCGATAATACGTCTGCAAATGAGGTGACCACTATTTGAAATGTAGTAGCAGTGTCGGTAAAATACTTCAAAAGTACTGTTGACAGTCCTAGGATATGTTTAGGGGTCCGCCATGCACATCTATAGGCATATTATTTGCCTTTGAAGCGGCTATATATTGGAAACAAGAGCATCGGAACAGACAAAATCCCCCGTATTCCGGAAGAAGGATGTTCGGTGCGGCAATCTCAATTTCGTGCGAGTGCTGGATACAACCGCCGTACCATACAACCCTGGATTGAGGAAGGAGGAATCATAAGCAACAAACGTCTAATTCGTGGATTGAACGTCGCCGGTTCGCGCTAAGAGCCTGTTCAGTACGAGAAAAGGTCATTTACTCTACACGGCATGGGTCTGGTCCAAACATACCAATGGACCCACCAGAGAATTGTTGCCTTTATATTTTTATCGTGCCCATTTCCTGTCACACAAAGACCCCCTACCTTCGACTAGGGCGATGACCGAGTCTGACAATTCCTCCTCCACACGCAGTCCAGGCCCTATCAGGTCGAACTAACACCGGGTTAGCAGGCATCAGGGCCTCGATTCGAAACCGATTCTCCTCCTCTTCCTCCTCTGGCATAATCTGGGTCTTGTCAGGACGAACTAACAATAACGGGTTAGCATGCAGCAAGACCCCGATTCGACTCCCGCACCGAACGATTCAGCTGTATAGAACTTGTAGTATAACCGGCCGAGAAAAACCAGCCTCGAAAGGGGCGAGTTTCGCTTATCACAGACCAGAGGTTGACTGTTCTGTGTTAAGTTTTTGCACTTTTCGACGCCTCATATTCATCCATTCTATGTGTTTTTGTGTGATTACATGGCACCGACCCCTTACCCCGTCCTCTACGCATCGGCACCAGTGTCCCGCACTCGCTGATGATACTCCAGCCCCATTTTTGCCAGCTGCACAGCAATCCTATTCTTGATCATCCTGACCTCCTCCGAATCCTCTGCAAATTTGGTCCTCACAAGCATCAGGTTGGCCCAAAACCGCTCCAATCTCGCTTCATCATTCTGTGCATTGGCCCCTGACCGCTCAAAGTGCCCGCCATACATAATAGCCTCTTGCATCTCGATCTCCTCCTTTAACAGATCTCTCAGCCCCCTGGTTGTGTTGTTCTCCATTTGCCACTCAGTTAAGCCATTGATGACTTGTTGATCAGAATAGCTGAGCTGTCGAGGCAGAGGCCAGGGGAGGATTCGCATCTTGATACGATCCCGACGACGGCGATGGTTCAGTGTACCTTTGCTGGGCCGAACCTTGCCGTGACCAGGATTAGGAAGTATTCGATCAATGAAATCTTGATGGCAAATATCTGGATCCAAGCGACAAATGGCTTCCATTTCCCAACCTTCGATCTCCGTGCTGACCTGTTCGGGCATGATATTTGAGAATTTCAACGGTCGGTCGAATGCATTTAAGAGAACCCGACCGTAATTGTCCAACTTGGGGCGGAATTCTTGAGGGGCCTTTTTGCGGCGGTTGTTGATGGGTGTATAGGCCCATTTTCCCAGTGGATACAACATGAAGAGGATCTCAGGACGACCGGAGCACCTGCCGGCTTGCCAATGGCGGTATTGCGGTTGGCGAATGGTGACATTCTCACCGACTTGAAGCCAATGGGCATTGACAGCGAACAAGAAGTGTGTCTCATCGAGCCTGACGTATTTCTCGCCGTTGATTGTCAAGACGTCGACTGCGTATCGAAGACGAGTGTATTCGTCGCTTCGCTTGATCCAAATGACAGGGGGCAACAACAATGGAACGGGAGAAGCTTGATGCATCTCTTGCTGGTCCTGGTATTCTCCCACCGTGCATCGTTGAAGCTTTCCTATTTCGCCGACCTTGAGACTATGATGGTATGAGGGTGCAGGAAGCAGAGGCAAGTTGGCGTTTTGTGGGACCGCAGTCGGGTGGACCAGAGGGCTATCACCATGATGAAGGCGTGATGCCCGAAGAGGAACTTCTTCGACCTTGACTTCCAGATCTATACGTCCTGTGAGAAAACCAGCCTCTAATGCGGACAAACAAGGACCTACCTTCTTCTTGAAACTGGGTTCGCTCATACGACTCTGAATACAGGCCAATCCGCAGGTGGACGGCAAGAGAATCGCCCAATCGCACTTTCTTGGTTGGTAAGACTGCTCTGGCGTATCCGCGATCGTCAATGACCAGTTCAGGAGCACGTGGCCCTTGTTTGAGACGCTTCTTTGTTGGTGGGACTTCCAGGACTGCTCTGGCGTACCCATGCTGATCGATCTCCAGCCTTGAACTGTCCATTTCTGAGAGAAAGAGGTTGCAATGCTTGTGTCTCAAAGATTGTATGTCTGGGTCCTTGTCACAGGACCGTAACAGCATCAACGAGTTGATTCCATGAATCTTTTTCTTTGACCGACTCGTGGTGAGAATTTGTCGTGATATGACTCTACCACGGTGGAAGGCGTGACAGGTGACTTTCTGAGCGATCGGGGCCAAGTCTTGTTGTGAAGGTCTGGTCTACACGGTACATTCATCGCCGTGGCGATGAGGATGCAAGCTGGTGGTCCAAAAATACCAACGCTTTGGCAGGACGTGGATCAGGACGAGAACAATAACGACACGCCCCTCTCAACGGAATGGGCGTGGAAAGTTGATCTTGGAATTGTCTACGAATAACGTCACCTTTGACCCTATCAAATAGATCAATACGCAAGAGGGAGACCACGAAGCAAACCCACAGATGTCGAGCAGTTCCCCTCCAGCGCTGTTGTCCTCCGGCATCAGCCATGGGAATGCTGAAGCATTCACTGACAACGAGCTTGATGAAACACAGATCGAGGGGCATCGTTGCCGCCCTGTGACGGTAGACATGGGATGAAATGTATGTATTCACTGTTCCCATCCTTGGACAAAGAAGGCCAACAGATGCCTTTGCAACTGGTTAAGAGAATACACCTCAGATCGACGAGCACACACACACATGTCTCAGCTCCTTTCTTTGTCCAAAGCCTTTGCGCGCACAAGAGCAGAGGAGCCAGCTGATACATGTCAAGAATCCCCGTGGGTAACAAATCCCCAAACAGCATCATGAAGCGATTTAACCAGCGAGAAGGGTCGCGGGGCCCCGGAGAGGTGTGAAATCGACTTACAATATTAGCTATTGGCACTGATGAAGACACGACAGATGACGGCGTCACGCCGGATACGAAAATAAGACAGTTACCGTCTTCAACGTTTGTGCTCCGACGGGATATAAAAATGAGGTGTGTTGAATATAGGGTAGGTCACCGGGCCGCAGAAATAGCTGAGTTTGTCATCGTCAGCGCTCTGCTCTTTACGGGAGGGAGGCAACATATAACCTTACTAGGTAACTTATCCATCCCTGTGATTTCTTCTCCCACAGGACGTCTCCCGCCCCACAGGATAAGGGGATAAGGGCAAGTCGTTTGTTTGCTCAACTGAAAGGTCTGGCTAGACATAGCGATCATCCGCGCGAAAACCCCAAATACCCAAGCACGCATCCATATATAGAGAGATGTGAAAGAAGTGAGGGGGGGGGAGGGGTAAGAATAGCTTGCTTCCTTGCTGATAGTAGCCTCTCTTCTGGCTCCGGAGACTATATAGGCAAGGAAAGAGGCAGTAAGTTAGATGCTCGGCCTTGACCACTGCAGCTTGCTTGCGGGCTGCCAAGCGAAACTACTGACCAGTACATTGATAGCATAAATACAGAAAAACAGCGGGCTAAGAAAATAACCAGAGCAAAATTACAGGTGGAACTTGCATGATGTTTGTAGTTGACTTTTTCTCATTCAAATTCGTCCAATCGTTTTGACAATACATTAGGGGTTTTATGTTTTAAAGAGGACCATTATAGACAACTGGCGGTCCCGCAGCGACAATAACCACACCGCCGATAGCGACAATTTAGTAGTTGTGCGAAGGCGGGAGATGGCCTGGCCGGTAAGGCACTCTGCCTTCCATGCGTTGATGAAGAGGGACCTCTCGATCCGTGCCGCGATAGCCTCCCTGCCCTCCTTGCGGTTGCGGTTGCGGTGGCGCGGGTGTGGGGCTTTGTCCAGGCAACTCATAGGACTCTTGAGCCGAGGGCACTGAGGGCGCGGAAGGCCCCGAGCGTCCTGAAGGTGCTGACGGTTGCCCGGACCAGTACCCATCCTGGCCCATATTGGCATGTTGGTAGCTTTGGTGCGACATCGGATTGGAGACTTGGTCGTCCGGGAGTTGGTAGATGTTTCTCTGGTCTTCGGGTAGTTCGTTGAGGTTGCCGAAGTAGCCACCCGCAGCTGCGTTAGGAGGTTGTGGTGGGTATTGGCCGCCCGGTGGATATTGGTTGTTACCCTGTGAGTACTCGCTCTGATCGGAGACGGACATGTGGGAAGAGCCCTGATTGGGAGGGGGCGAACTAGAAGCCTGGTATCTCATGGGTACCACGCCGGGCGGGATAAGTCGGTCTGGAGATCGAGGAGGAGGAATGGGAGGGGATGGGAGCTCTGACCGCGTGTCTGAGGGGTTCGAGGCGTCACGGTACCGTGATGAGACAGCGGCCACGGCTCCCATTCCCGCCGCTGCGCCGCTTGCACCTCCGATGCCGAGCCCTGTCATACTAGGCAAGGGTTCATCTGAATACTGATCGTTTGAGTAGGAATTTCGTTTCCTCCGCCGCCTCATGTACCAGCTATACCAGCCACCGAAGATGGCGGCAGCTAGAACAACGATACCCACTCCAGCCCCTATACCAGCTTTGGCACCTGTCGACAGACCTGAGCTGCCGCCGCCGCCGCCGTTTGATGGAAGGAGAGTCGGGGCACTTCCTGGAGTGCTTGTGAAGGTTGCTGGTGCCACAAGTGTGGTGGCGGGATTCGTTGCTATCACGACGGATGTGATGGTGGTGTAGCCTGGCTGTCCATTTTGGGTGGTTTGGAGAACCTGGGTGATATACGACGTGGTAGTGGTATAGGAAATTGAAGTGCTCGAAGTGGTTATAACAACTGGCGTTTCACTGGTGCTTGTGGTGCTGGATTCGGACGTGGAAGATGATGTTTCGGAGGCGGATTCCGTGCTCGATGACGAAGTTGAAGGAGTGGTGTATGTTGAAGAGGTTACGGGCAGGGGACTCGGAGTGGTTGTTGAAGTGGTGGTGGTGGTGGTCGGGATCGGGGAAGGGGAGGTGGTTGTTGCTGAGGAAGTTCAAGGTTAGACGGAGCCTACATGGATAATACGCTCATAGGCACGGCGGCTAACCGCATGAACACGAAGACCAAAAGCAGAACAAACAGAGACTCACTAGTAGTACTGCTTGGAATCGGCGAAGTGGTAGTCGTAGTGGTGGGGGAGGGGGAAGACGTCGTTGTTGACGACGTTGTTGGTGGAAGGGAAGAGGACGTTGTGGTAGGGGAAGAAGTGGTAGGAATAGGGGTGGTAGCTAAGGTTGAAGGGGACGTATAAGCGGAGGTTGACAAGCTAGGGGAAGTGGACAACACGATGGGAAAGGACGAGAGAAGACCACTTGAAGGAGTGCTGGTGCTACTGGTAGTGGAAAGTGTAGAGGGGGAAGTGCTTGTGATGGTGCTGCTGCTGGAAAGGGTAGAGGGGGAAATACTTGTCGTGCTGCTGCTTGACGACGTAGAGGGGGTAATACTTGAGGTACTGCTGGTTGTGAAAAGAGTGATTGAAGTAGAGCTGGTCGTCGAAGGAGGTAAGGAGGAAGTGCTGGAGGAGGTTGAGGTGATGGGAGGGGTGGTGGTAGAAGGCGACGTCGTGAAGCTTGTGGTAGCTGCCACGAAGCAAATGTTATAAGAGCAGACTTGCGAGAGCAGTTGATGCAAGGCTGAAGCGGCGAGAAATTCAACAGCGGAAATACAGCACGGATCAACTTACTAGAACTGAACGTAGTTGTGGTGGTAGAAACAATAGTACTTGTTGTCGTCGTCGGGGACGATGTCGTCGAATCTGTGGTTGAACTGGGCAGCGTCGAGGTGGTCTCTACGACACTCGAGGTAGCAGACGCCAGGTCCGTCGAAGTAGAACTTGAGTCACTCATGGCTGCACAGGGCGGCGATTGCGCCGCACAGAGTATACAGCGACGACAGTGATATCGTCCTTGGACAGGCGGGGCAGCCTGGGTACAACGGTAAGGCTGACAGAGGAAGAAGAAAAGGAACTGAGAAAGAGCGGGACGGCGAGGTCTTGAAGCATCGACCAAGGAAAAGCATGGGGCCAAGCTAGCAGCTTTACAGACCATGGGCCAGCTGCCTGTGAGGTGTATCTGCACGATCACACCGCAGAGCAGACGTCGTTGGTAGCCTTACCAGGGAAAGCGGGGTTCTTTTTTCAGCTCCCACCACGGTGAGATACGAGGCCATTGGGGGGGTCGAGAAGGGTGTGATCCTGAGGGCTGCCAGCTTCTTGGAGCTGGCCCTTCGCACGGCTTATGGCCGAAAGTGTTAGCGGGCGAGATGCAAGCAGGCGAGAACAAGCAGAATTGTCGGCAAGGCGTGGTGGTGAGGGGCCAATGGGACAATAGCGGGATGGACGGATACCCTAAGAAAGGCCCAAGACACGGCCATGGACGCCCTTCTGCGTGGCGAGGTTGATCTTGCAAAAGAGGCCAGAAGCGAGAACTCGAGGCAAAAGGGTTCAATACGAGCAAATTAAGCGAGCCATGCCGGCTGTCAAGCATTTGCCACGGCTCATGATGACGGTCAATACGGGGTCCGACGAGGAAGGTCGAAGTGAGATGGGCTCGGTCGGCCAAATGATGCCAGATAGAGGGGCATTGAGGGGATTCCTGCGAGCTGAAAATAGAGGAGGCTGGGGATTGAGGCTCTTAGACACTGATAGGGAAGGAGAATAAGCTTGCAGATGCAAGGGGAAGAACAGGAACAAGATCGGCAGAGCAAGAGGGGACGGAGTAAGCGATGGTGGTGAGGGATGGAGAAAAGAGATAAAATGGAGTTGGAGATGGAGAGAGAATTGAACAAGTGAGAATAGCATTACTATTACCGACCATTCGCTACAGGCAAGCAGGTACTTACTTAGGTGCTGTGGTACCTACCGAGGACTACGGAGTATATCTAATATGTTTACTCACCGACCCTTCACTTCCACCTCACCCTGTACTACACAACAGAACTCGATGCAACGGCGACCTCCGCCCAACCGTCCACATTCTCTTGTTGAATGCTTCACGTGGCACCATTAAACCCACACGAGGCTGCGGCTGCGACGTCATGTTGACTCACAGACCAATCGTCGGAAAAAGGCCTTCAGTTTGCCAAATGCCCACAGTCACACGCTTCCCTCTCAACCAGTTTGCGCATAAATTCGCACAGCGTTTCCACTAGCAATTTGTAGGTCTGAACTGTTCTGAACTGAACTGAACTGAACTGTGCCCTGGATCGTTCCTTTCTGTGTTGACTCGTCGGCTCCAGCTGCGTTCATTCTCTTTCAAGACTTCATCCTCCACCCACTCCAACTCCGACATAAATATCGGTCACACTTAACACACTAGCCACCCTTTCCATCTTTGCTTCGAATATTTCGCTGCTCCAGCCCGCGGAGTCTGTCTGTTCATCTCTATCTGTCTCCCAATCAAACTGCCGTATGATGCCGACCGCCCGGGAAAACGGAGGGGCGGATCCCGTCGTCTGCGTTTTGTGCGTCGCGAACACGGTCTCCCATTTGTTAACTCAAAATTTCCAGAAGGATCACTGACAGATTTCTTCAAGTTGTGCCTCTTCACCAGGAAAAGACCCCGTCCATCTCCAATCAGCGCAAAAACTAGGTCAATCTCTGCATAAGGCCGGCTATAAGCTCGTCTACGGTGGAGGGACCATGGGTATTATGGGCGAGTTGGCCAAAACCCTCGTCTCCCTTTCTGGTCCCCAATCAGTGCACGGCATCATTCCTCGAGCTTTAATCCGCTCAGAACAAGACCCTTCCGTCCGCAGCGAGACGAGTCGGTATGGATCAAGAAAGGTGGAGCGGACCATGTCCTCGGAGGAACTGCAGCGGATTGATAGTATTGAGGACCCAGATAAACACATTGTGCCCGAGTCCGAGTTTGGAAGGACCACCATTGTCCCAGACATGCACACTCGAAAACGCATGATGGCCAATTCGGTGGAAGCGGGTGGCCTCGGTTCAGGCTTCGTGGCCCTGGCAGGCGGATATGGTACCGTGGAAGAGGTCATGGAGATGGTTACTTGGAATCAGTTGGGCATCCATCAAATCCCCATCATTCTGGTCAATATCAATGGCTATTGGAATGGATTGTTGGAATGGGTCAAGACGGCAATAAGAGAAGGTTTCGTGGGCGAAGGAGCTGCCAACATCTTGGTCGAGGTTCAGAGCACAGATCAGGTCATTGACGCGTTGCACGGCTATCAGGTCGCCCCTGGGAGGTATAAGCTGGACTGGTCATAGATCGGAAAATGGAGTATAATGGAAACTCTTCATTCCCACCAATCTGGCCTTGCCGCCTCCGTGGGACTCCCTCGAATTGCCATTGTGGCAGCCTAATAGTACTCCAAACGCCGTGTAATAATGCGTACCCATCGATGCTTTTCCTATGAATCTGTTTCCATGGCATCTCCACCTTCTGTGGCCGTCGACTCCACGCTTGCCTCGAGCAAAGGCCCAATGTCCTGTCCATCGTAGAGCTTGAAGGCTTCCAGTTTCTTCCTGCCATCTTTCTCTCCCATGCCTATCACGGCCAGACTGGTGTTGTCCACCGTGAGTTCCTTGTCTTGCGCCAGAGACTCCTTCAGTGCAAGCAGGGCATGTTTGATCAACTCCTCACGACTGCAATCCGCAAATTTATCCAAATGTCTCTCGAGGTACGTTCGAGCCATCTGACTTCGTGCTCCAATCGCACAAGCCAGCATCTCCTGGGTCATTCCAGACGGAGAGAACTCGAACAAATGGGGTCCCAGCTCATCCACGCCCGCAACCAACAGCCCCACGCCGTAGGGTCTTTTGCCATAGTGTTGCGTGTTTGTCTGAGCTCTATCACCAATCATATTCACGATGCGCTCGACGGGTATGGGACGGCCGTAGGTCATTTTTGAGGCGAGCGACTGCTGTTTCATGAAGTTGGAAAGAACGCGAGCGTCGGAAGCGAGACCGGCCAGGGCCACTCCTAGGTGATCATCGACACCGACTACCTTTTTCTGATACGAGGACAGTTCTTCTGCGTTCCGCTATAGACAGTATGAGCGGCTGATATTTGTAAGGGCAAAGCTCTTTGGGGGTTCAGACCTTGAGGGCAGTGAGGACGACATGTTTCTTGCTGACAACTCCGACGACGACCGATCCCTGCTTGACGGCCTCTTGAGCGTATTCGACCTGGAATATCCGGCCCTGAGGCGAACTGCGAATGAATTAGTATTTCGGGCATGGGGGCGTGTTGTCGCTAAGCAGCCTCACAAAGTGACGGAGTCATTGTCGTAGTTATTTCTGAACATCTTGATTGCACGTTATGCAGAGTAATGGGACCGGAGCATGAAAAGAGAAATAGAGGCCGAGTTGTGGGAGTTGGATGTGTTTGAAATAAATCAATGAAACCAGGCACTTGCAGACGCGCAAACTCCAGGTTCTCGCAATTCATTGCGGAGGAGCTTCGGCGCCCAGCCACAGCGACTTCCAAGCATCCCTCATCAGACGGCCGATCCTTTGACCACCCAACTCATTTCTCCATGAAATCGATATCAGTCTCTCCGACCTCAACTATCCGGCTCCCTTTCGCTTCGAGCCACACTTTCGATTCTTCCGACCTCCCAATCCCCGAGTTGCAGCGCTGCAGTTGCGCAAGCGTCGAGAGAACTACAATCAATAGCCTTTCCACCCAATCTTGCCTCGACCCATGACCATGACGGCCGGGTTGAAAACGATTATTGCGCTCTCCTTTGTATGCACACCGCATGGTCCCAACATGTTCAACTTACAGCGCGTGGCTGATAAGCTACTAGGTCCTTGCCATCGGATTCCTCCTCGTCATCCTCTCCGCCGCGTTGTTCCATAACTTCCTCACCCTCCTCGTTGTCGCAACATATGTGTTAGCGCCCCTGCCAAACTGGGTGGCAGGAAGATGTGCCAATGCGGATGATTTTATCGAGAACAATTCCGGGGCTTGGATAGACCTGGGTCGCTTTGCTACGGGATTTCTCGTGCTTATGGGTATCGGTACGTTTCAACACACGGATGGGGATTGATCACATACACTGACAGGCATCACACGACAGCCTTGCCGGTACTACTTGCGCATTCTGCTCTTATTCAAGTCCCAGCCATGGTCATGTCCATTGTGGGCGGGTTGCTGATATATGGCACCATCATCAGCTTCACCCAATTTTTCAAGGAGGAGCAGGACTTTTAAAACGAAGCGCATACAAAGACTTTGGAGGATCTGGATGCATATTCAAGGCGTCATGAATCGGGTTGGTCTAACAGATACTACTCTACCTCGTACAATGTTGGACGAAAAGATACACAGTGGAGGTTGTTCTGCCCTACGGATCACGCAAGCGAAATTTGGAACCCGTATATTTGTATCGATGTGAGTCGGGGTTAAATCACAGGATTCTTCCCAATGAGATTGATTGACTGGCCGTTCTTTCTTTCTCTGATTAAAAGTCGCATCCACAATATTCGTGCATCAGTCGAGGCTAAACTTCAGCCCATGCGTCGCCGCGTGTGTTTCCACGTCACGACCCTGCATGTGTCTCTGCGGCCTGCAGCCCTGGACAAGATTTCAGGACTCCATAGTCTACCTAGCATTGACCCCGGCCTCATGGCCATCCTATCAATTTGGTTCGGACAATGGGCAACTGGCGCCTATCTGGGCGACGAGACTGACGAGGCTCAGGGCGCAAGGCTCCAGCGGGCTCGTCGGAAGAATTCCCCGGGTGGTTCGTTGGTTCTCGGCATCTATCCACCCAGCCTGCGAATTACGAACAGTGGGCCTTCCCTTCCAACGCTCTGATTCTTAGCAGCTTCCACTCCTGCGTCCGCGGGCAGGCAGGACATTCTATCCCATTGTGTTTCTCACGAACAACCCAAGCATCTGACTAGAAAGATATACGACTACGCACCATTGCACCCGCCCTGTCTGTCCGCTCCCTCCGTTGTTGAAGAATTACTAGTCCTTTCTACGATGTCGACCTCGCAGCGCCTCTTCCGCTTCTCCAAGCCGGCCTGGCTTAACAGCGCCAACACCAGAACCGCCGGCGTCTACATCGCTGGCGCCCTCGTATGTCTAACTTGCGCCTTTTCTTTTTCTCTTCTTCCTCTCTGCTCCCAAGGCCTTGACTAATGCATGGCGGGTCAACACAGTTCTCGCTCGGCTTCTTCTTCTTCGTCGACGCCAGCGTCTTCTCCAAATCCCCCCTCAACGGCAGCACCGTGCACATCAATTTTGTCGACTGGATCCCCCTGATCTGCTCCGCGCTAGGCATGCTCGTCATCAACTCGATTGAGAAGTCTCGCCTCTCGGCGGACAGCTGGTCATACAGCGGCAACGGCGTGGCCTGGAAGGCCCGCACCGTCTTGTTTCTGGGCTTCGCCCTGATGGCCGGCGGGCTCGCGGGCAGCGTCACGGTCATGGTCCTGAAGTATCTGTTCAAGGACTACGCGCTGCAGACCGTGTATATGGGCGTTGCCAATGTCGTGGCCAACGGGCTGGTGATGCTGAGCTCCGTGGTCTTGTGGGTGAGTCAGAACATGGAGGACGATTATACATATACCTTGCAGCTGTGAGGACTGCTGCGATGGCGCGACAAGGGAGACGAACGCCGGGAAACTGTGTGAGTTGCAGGAAAGGCTCCATCCATGCAAGGCTGAGAAACGTGAACGCAAGGCAAGGCAGAGCAAAAGGCACGGTCACAACGGCAATATGGCGTATCCATATCACGGCGGTCACGGGGGCTAATAAAGTCTGTACTTGTATCGGCAAAACCCAAGGTATCGTTCCTTGTATCTTTGTTCTGTTCTGGGGCGGCCAAAGTCTTTTGACCCTCAGCTATCAAACTTTGGAGGGAACCCGATGGAATGCACACATGTGCGGCTTGCTTGTCCAAGTTTGCCGCCATCAAGCCGCCACCTGATTTCTCTTGCTGGAACTACTTGTACTTGTTAATAGGCTGGACCGAGATTCCCTCTTAGTGGTGGCGTGATGGCTCATTTACTGGAGGGGACATCTTGCCCCCAGCGCCCTGGAATCTTTGAGTCCTGCCGGCCCTCCTCTACAGGACCCATGTACTTGTTCGTATTGCCACTTGAAATCTCTTCGCCCACGCCCATAGCTCAGTCCCTATCTCTGAGCTTGCCCATAATGGCATCAATCACATCCATATCCGCCGCCGAGAGGTGGTCTGGTCCGACAATATCCTTCGGCAGCCGCCTTACGGCCTCGTTCATGGCGGGTTGGTAGTTTCTGATGCCCGAGCTAAGGGCGTACACGGCCTTTTTTCGAACACTCTTGTCCGCGTCATCGAGGGAGACCTGGACGAGCCTCTCGATGCCGTTTAGGGCCAAGAGTCGCTCTTGGGCCTTTACATTGTTCTGGACCGCGGTGCCGATGCACCAGGCCGCCATGCGCCGCAAGTCAGCCGAGTGGCTCTCCAGTTGCGCCAGCAGTGGCGTCCAAAGGCCCAGGGGTTCCATGTTGTTGGCATTATCAATGTTTTCGACCAGTTGTTCGAGGTTGTCGAAGGCCGTCATTTTGGCGTCGTGCGTGACGTCCGGATCGGAGGAGCCGATGATGGCCATGGCTTCTCGCATCAAGTCGGCGTCGCTTGGACCGCCCAGCAACGCGCGCAGCACATCAGCTGATAGTCCTCTGGGTTCTCTGACCGGCTGCTCTGGGTTTCGACCAGCATCCGAGTTCTCGATACTCCATTGTAAGAGAGAGTTCAGTCCAGGATCCATATTTGGGAGTCGACGGTGAGGGATGGATCAATTTTCAAAACAGAGAGCGGCTCTAATAGTTTTCCAACGCGTTGCTGTGATCAGAGGGCACGATTTAATCCAGACTTTCATTAGAATGATTGTTCACAGTCTTCTTATGAGGTTGGGAAAATGGGAGGGAATGGCCAATCACGGGCCAGTACGTTCCAGAACCTACTGGCACCAGCCGGGATCTTCGTGCAGAATCGAGGCCTCCAGGGCTGCGAGAATGAACTGAAGGGCGCATCAAAGGGGTCACTGAACTGGATCGAGGACTATTAGAGGGTCGAAGGCGGGCCATCTCTCTTTACCGTGTACCTGTACTTGTAGCCATTGTTGCCTCTGAAAAGTCTAGAGAATTCAAGAGCAGACAGTTCGATTAATGGCGGTGACTATTGCCGACGGCTTCGGTGGCTGTGCATCTGAAACGCTGGCTAATTACCCCGCGATATGTGGCTGGCAACCTTTGACGCACAAAAAACACACCAGTTTAAACAAAGAATAAATACCGAGTACCCGGGACTGGTGCCTGGTGGTTAGCAAAAGTGTGTGGCTTAGTGGTTGGGGCTGTTTCGCCACAAGGACGGACCGGGCCCATCTTTCGTGTACCTCGTCCTCGAACGGGTGTCTTACTACCAAAGGACAGAGTGTGCCCTACTTGCACCACGAGGACTGTCTACAGTACTTGTTCAAAGGACACCGTGCTTGGTAGATGTCAGAGGCCTGTCGATGGCGGGGCCGAAAAAGCACTTTGTGCTCTTGGTAGTATCGAGAAGCCCCAGGAAAATGCTGGATCCGTCATCTCTATCATCAGCCTCCCAAACCCGGCCCGTGTTGAGAGCGTCAAAGCCAGTTCTTAGGGTGTTGCTGGGGGTTGATCAGGCCAGCCTTGGCCAGGATTGCAGCTGCCTGTTGCTTCGAGGCGGCAAGGGGGGAAGGTGACGAGGCTCTTCCGTCGGTGAGGGAGCCCATATTGCGTGGCCATAGCGCCACTCGTGGAGAAATGGCATGAGCTTGAGAATCTTGGTACCTGCTGGACCCAGCTCGCCAGTACTTAGTAGAGGTAGTCAGATGAAATATCTCATATCCCGCCTCCCCCATTCACGCAAAACTGTTCCAGGAGGCGGTCGACCCAGCCTGTCTCTCTGTCTTCGCCTTCTTCTACCAAAAGGTATTTGAGTCTCGCTGCCGCCCCTTGCCCGTCGATCAGAGCAAGCCCAGTACATCTTCGGTCCTGATCCATAATCAAGGCTTACAACTGCTAGGGAGCTGGCTAGGAATCTTTTCCTTCACCGAAACGCGCAGACTTGACCCGAACTGGTCTTGGCGCCTCGCAGCTGCCCGATTTAGCCCACCGCAGCCCACCGCCCAAACCACAAACCACCGCTACTTCATCTTACCCTCCTCACTTCTCGTCTCCATCTTCATCCCTTCTATCTATCCAATCTCCTTGCTCGTCTCTTCGAAGGCCATTTCTACCTTCGACACTCCGAGCCTTTTCATATTTCGCCCGTTCTCACTTCTGTCCATCACCCCTCACCTCGTCCTTCAATAATCCGTCACAATGGAGGGTAAGTAAGCCAAATTCAGCCCTACATCAGTTGCTTTTGAACACAGTTTTCCATCTCGGACTCCGTACTGATATGCCTTTCGTCGAACAGAAGAAGTTGCTGCGCTCGTCATTGACAATGGGTAAGCGCCCTGTCCTGAACCTGGGTCCTCTCTGCCTGCGGTCATCTACAACATCCCTTGGGACACGCGAGCTCCAATTGCGGGTGCCTCGGAAGAGGAGGATGTCAGCGCGATTGTGACCAAGATACTGACAATAATTTCTTCAGCTCTGGTATGTGCAAAGCTGGCTTTGCTGGCGACGATGCGCCTCGGGCTGTCTTCCGTAAGTGTGCCCTGCCCCGCACTGAACCGGGACGACAAGAGTCTAACAGACGGTAACAGCATCTATCGTCGGTCGACCTCGTCACCATGGTATCATGATCGGTATGGGTCAGAAAGACTCGTACGTCGGCGATGAGGCCCAGTCCAAGCGTGGTATCTTGACCCTGCGATATCCCATCGAACACGGTGTCGTGACGAACTGGGACGACATGGAAAAGATTTGGCACCACACTTTCTACAACGAACTTCGTGTCGCCCCCGAAGAGCACCCCGTGCTCTTGACCGAAGCCCCCATCAACCCCAAATCCAACAGAGAGAAGATGACACAGATCGTCTTCGAGACTTTCAACGCACCCGCCTTCTACGTTTCCATCCAGGCCGTCCTCTCTCTGTATGCCTCGGGTCGCACAACTGGTATTGTGTTGGACTCTGGCGACGGTGTCACCCACGTCGTCCCCATCTACGAGGGTTTCGCTCTTCCTCACGCCATCTCCCGTGTTGATATGGCTGGTCGTGATTTGACCGACTACCTGATGAAGATCCTGGCTGAGCGCGGTTACACCTTCTCCACCACTGCCGAGCGAGAAATCGTCCGAGATATCAAGGAGAAATTGTGCTACGTCGCCCTCGACTTCGAGCAAGAGATTCAGACCGCTTCCCAGAGCTCTAGCCTGGAGAAGTCTTATGAGCTTCCTGACGGTCAGGTTATCACCATCGGGAACGAGCGGTTCCGAGCCCCTGAGGCCCTCTTCCAACCAAGCGTTCTTGGTCTCGAGTCCGGCGGTATCCACGTCACTACCTTCAACTCCATCATGAAATGCGACGTTGATGTTCGAAAGGACTTGTACGGCAACATTGTCATGGTAAGTCACGCACTCTGGTCGTCTAATTGGCTCGATTACTAACGGCCCTTCTACAGTCTGGTGGTACTACCATGTACCCAGGTATCTCCGACCGCATGCAGAAGGAAATCACGGCCCTCGCTCCATCGTCCATGAAGGTCAAGATCATTGCTCCTCCTGAGCGCAAATACTCCGTTTGGATCGGTGGTTCCATTTTGGCCTCTCTTTCAACCTTCCAGCAGATGTGGATCTCCAAGCAGGAGTACGATGAAAGCGGCCCTTCCATTGTCCACCGCAAGTGCTTCTAAACTCTCTTCGAGCATCGGGTATGCTTGGACTTGAATGCAACGCAGCAATTTTCTAGAGTGAGCTGTCAACGAGAACAAAGGCATGATGAATTGAATGGCACGCGGAGCATAGATTGTGGAAACCAAAGGCGACGGGGAGGGACCGGAAGTGCTCCTGCACAGCACAGAGGCGTGTCTGAACATCTTCAGGACACTTGAGTCATTGAAGTTTGTACCGGGACAAATGTAACATCTTCAATGAGTATCGTCATTCCAGATAGTGTCTAGAACGCAATGCCAGCAAGCTTAGGTCTTCCCCATATGTTCGCTGCTATGTGCAAAAGCGGTACCTTGGAGCGATTTAGAGCTTCGTACGTGTCCATGTCTCCACGATATCCATTCCGGCATACTTTTCCAAGAAGCAAAGTCCGATTCTGATATCGGGCCAAAACCGCGATTCTGTGCCTTCTCTCTCTTGAACGCCCCCGGGCGGGTCAAGCCGTGCTGAGCTCTTTCCGATACATCAGCACATCCCCGGGCACCTCCTGCACGGTAGCTCCATCTTCAGCAGGCTCCAAGACTCTCCACTCACAAGTAATGCCTTCCTCGCCGAACTTGCTAATGATAACGTCGGCGATACTCTTGAAATTCTCCGTCGCGAGCGCCAATATCGTTGGTCCAGCGCCGGACAAGCATATACCCAGCAGGCCCGGGTGGGTCTGGGGGGACATGGAGGACAGGATGGACGGTAGGGCCGGGATGAGGCCGGCGCGGTAGGGTTGATGGATCCTGTCTTGCATGGCGGAGTAGATGAGGGACGGGTCGGGTGGGGAGTCGGAGAGGACGGTGGTGAGCAGGGCGATACGTTGAAGGTTGAAGATCTATGTACATTCCCGAGTACAAACCCCCCGCCAATATCAGTCCTCGTTCGTCTGCTTTCGGGGTTTTGGTCTTGGGTATTCCCCGGTCTCGCACGTGTAGCGGTCTTGGTTGGAAACGGGGAAAGAATAAACATTTTGGAGGGGGGACTCTATAAAGAAAGACTCGACTCACCATGTCCTGTCGGGAATACTCCTTGGGTAACACCTCCCTGGCTTTGGCCGTGCTGACCTCAAAGTCCGGGATGATTGCCAACGCCTTGATTTCCTTGGCCCAGTTGAATCTCCTGTAGTGGCCGATATTCTCGGGCGGGATGGGCGGTATGAGGCCCGTGTCGATTCCACCGGCCGGCTGGGGGAGTACTTCTGAGAGCGGGACCTCCTTCCGCGCCATGTCGACGGGGTCGAGCTCGTTGAGATATGTGCCCACGAACCCGCCGTAAAGGGCTGCGGCGACGTTGTCCGGGTGCCGTTCGACCATGAGGCAGAAATCCAGCAGACGTGGCTTGGGGAGGTTCAGGTTGCCCACGACGTTGCCGAGGAGCACGCCGCCGACGACGGCGGCACCTGACGACCCCAGCCCCCGACCGAGCGGGATCGGGTTGTGGATGTGCACGTGCGTCTGCGTGGGGAACTCGTGCTGCTCGTGGCAGCGCAGGACATACAGGGCTGTGCGGGTGAGGAGGTTGTTTGCCGGGTTCAGGTCAATGTCCTCGGCGCCGACGCCCGTGTATGTGACGGTGCAGTTGAGCGGGTTTGTTGAGGGGTCTGGTGGTGCTGAGCGGTCGACGCTCACGCGGATCTCGAGGTACATGGACAGTGCTAGGCCGATCACATCGAATCCTGGGCCTATATGGCACGGAGAGAGAGGGAGAGAGGGGATCAGAATCAGAATGACAACGACAATGAAAATGAGGTTGTAGGATGGACGAAGGGCGGCGTAACACACGAATCCCCCCTCAAAAGAAACACAAGGCTGAGCTGAAACTTACCTATGTTGGCTGAGGAACACGGTACCTCTACCTCGCTGTTAGCTTGGTTGGTACGAGTATTGTCTCTGCAAGGCCTGGACTTACTTATGAGATACATGGCGAGTAGCGGTCCGCCCAGGGGAACCTCGAGGGGTTTTGATTCGAGTAGTGGCAGTCGTGTGGCAGTGGGTGTACCGAGTAGATATGTCGGAATGCCACTTTATTTATTCCCCGCTCTGGTCTCTTCCCTCTTGTCACAACATGGCGATGGAGGGAGATGGTCGACACATGCGCTTTTGTGCTCTCCTCGCTGTATCTATGTAATGTGTGTTGCTGCTGAAGTTTTTCCTGGATCCAAAAAGTTGAGCGAGATGTGAGCAATGAGCATCTCCTCACAGTCAACAGACCAATCGGAGTGCAGCATGGTGCAAAATCCGCCCACACCGGTCACAGATTTTCCCATTTCCTATAAAGGTTAGTACTAATACTAAAACTCTTTAAGGCGAACCGTCGTGGTCTAGTGCCACTTGTCTCCAGCACCCTATGTCCTTGTACTTGTTGATATGTACATTGCTCGCGGGGTCCTGGCTCAAGAAGCATCCCACCCAGCCTTGCCTTGGATATTAGGCAGCGAATGAAAATTAAACAAGGCTAGTTAATGGCCCCAAAGCGTTCGGAGGCTGGGCTACGTAAGGAACTTGAACGGAAATGCTTCAAGGGAGTTGATCATTTGGTAACCTCATTTTTTGATTTTCAGCCCCCGTTTGTATCTGTGGTGGCCTCCTTACAAAATGCTCGGGCTTTTGTGCCTCGATCCTAGAGTACCTCCTGACGAGTACAAGTCTCGACTGTGATAGATTCCTAGTTTCCCAATCCCGTGAAATCCCCATGACCTATGATCCGGAGCAACCATGAGCGCCGCGCTTGCAAAATAAAATGAGTCCCAACTCGCTCAACCTGGTGCTGGAGACCAAGGTAGGCCCCACCATCTGCGAAAGATCTCCGTCACAAAGCCCTCCACCATCAGATCGTGGCAAAGTTTCATCATACTCGAGCTCGGCGAAGATAGGTAGCTTGCTGGTCCTGGTTCTGATTCTAACATGACCTTCATGCTCGCTAATAAGAAACATATAATCATCAGCACCACCCCGTCCGTTCGTGCTAATTAGCTCAATGGTTGAATTGCGTAAAGCCCTCTGCTGTACAGTGTTTGTCGTGTGGAGGAAACATGTCGTAACAAATTCAAGTCGTGCCAAGTCGACTCCCTCAAGAGGTTCATCTTGGTGTGAAAAGTTTTCAGTTCGTGTGTGGGAAATGTCGGACATGAAAGCCATCTCGCTCAGACAGCGGACACAAGTTGGTTGCAATGGCTTGGGTGTGTGAGCATATTACCGAATCGCACCCCAGTCGCCCAGTCGCCCAGAAATACCATCGCTATTTCTGCCTTCGTTTCCCTTCTTGCCAAATACCCTCCAGAATCGAAGTGTCTCGTCTCCCGCCCCAGTGACGACGGTTGTCCCGTCTGGGCTCGTGCTCAAGTAAAGGACACGAAAGGTATGTCCGGTAAGGCTGACAACCTGCTCCATTTTGGGGTACTTCCACACCACGATCTGATTCTGACTGTAGCCGTGCGTACTGACAATTTCGTCACTATTCTTGCTCCAGGCCAAATTGCACACCTGACTTCCTGTGTCAACTTCCTTGATGAGGGACCCATTTGCGGTGTTCCAAAATTTGATCGATCGATCTGCTGTTCCGCCGCCGGAAGCCAATAGGTGATGTTGATGAGGACTCCAAGCAATTGCCTTGACAGCTGCGACGTGGTTCGAGAACCGATACAAGGGCGTATCTGAGAGTTTATCCCAGACGCACAGCTTGTTGTCGTTTCCGCCTGAAGCGAGCTGGCCATCTTCAGTGTTCCAACGCAGACCACAAACTTCTTGCTTGTGACCTGCCAATCTTCGCAGGTGTTGATCCGGGCTGCGAACATCTCGATGATATATCAAACGATCCCTCGAGCCAGACGTCAGGATGTGTTCATTCCATGCTAGCGCTCCCACTCGTGCCGAGTGACCGGTCATTGTCCGTAGTCTTCTCGATTTTTCGGCATCGTAAATCTGGACGAACCCCTTGTGTGTCCCAATCGCCAGATGTGAACCCCGCTGAATCCACGCCACAGATGTCACCAAATCATTGTCAGGCAACTTGCATAACTGTGTGACTTTGCCAGTCGCACTGTTCCACATGTAAACACATGATCCGAGCCCTACACCAAGAATGTTCGCCGATCCCCAATCCACCAGATTCAGGTAGAAATCATCCGCCAACTCAGGAGCATCCAGCACTTTGTAAGGGACCTTCGCAATTGGTCGAGGTTGTTTCCGTGGTGTTTGTAATATGGACTGTGATGAGTAGTTGATGGGCGATATGGAGTATAGATCCGACCTCGCATTCAGATTTATGATTCCAGGGTGTTTCCCGGCTCGAGATGAGGGAGTGGGATGGCCAGAACCGATGACCTTCTGTGGGGACTTGTAGGAGAACATGTTCTTGTGAGGGGTTGTAGGGGTAATGGAGGCAGGAGGCATCGCGGATATGGATGGCTGGCCCGGAGGAGTTTGCCGTCGCCCGAACAATTCATCTGGGGACAAAGATCTGTAGTCTTGCGGGACAGAATCACCCATCAGCTCATTGCGCAGCACTTTGGAATATGTTCTGTTCGCTTCTTCGGTCCTCTGAAAGTGTAGTTCGCCATGAGGGGTTTTCTTCTTTGATCTCGAAGGTGTCGCTGGGGAGGCATCGTCATGCAACAAGCTGTAGCTCGCTTGTAGGTCCTGTCCATCCCTGTTCGGTATGAATCTAAGAACACCGTCAGTTTCGGTCCGGGAAGCCACACGGTGTCCAGACGACTGACCGATCTCCATAAATCCGCTGTCTCTTACGACTAGGACTACGTCCTGGGGTCCTGTCGCGGTGCCTTCCAGCATTCTCGATTTCTTTTAGCCGCCGAGTCAGGGCGTCGGCTTCCATGGCCTCGGTGGCTCGTTGGACGGCGGACATGCCTTCCTCGTTTTCTCCAAAGCGCTTAGAAGATATCGTGGGCGGGGTCTTGGAACCGAGAGGGGTCGGTAATGTTGGAGTATGCGGGCGATCGGATGTATCAACAACCAAG